CTACAGCAGTCCACTAGAATATTCTTATGTGAAAAGTGTTAAATGTTGACTGGAAATGTGAAAGTACGACTAAATATTATTGACAGTACTAAGGTTACATTTAAACCAGCCCTGCTTAGTCCACTTTAGTTTGTTTGTAAAGGTGTGAACGCATGACCAAACTCCAGAAAAGCAAACTCTGGTCCGCCTACCGACCTCAGTCTCTGTTCAGTTGAAAGAAACTCAAATGCATAATTTTAATGCCAAGAAGATCTGAAACCACTCTAAAAGCAGGAAAACTGCCTCACTGCGAGGCATTCTGGGTAAATGCAACCAAAACAAACGTGAGTCTATCGCAAACAGGATAGACTCACAATAGAAATGGCTCATGGTCTTCAGCCAAAGACAAAAGAGAAATTTGATGCTACTCCATTTTTGTTTGCATTTTGTGAAGGAGGAAGTTACGCTTTATGTCTTCTGAGGTTTTTGTGTAATTTCCTTCTGTCGTTCTTGGTATAGCACCACCACAGGCGAGGAGGGGGACAGGTTTATCAAAGAGCCCAGAAAAAGAAATTGTCTAATGTTTTTTAATCCTTTATTTGTGACATTTGGATTTGTTCAATTAGGTTTTCAGCATGTGGACTGATAGAGAGAGGCAGTACAGCATTCTGGTGATTCACGAACAATATGTTGCCATTACGCTTTCAGCTTTCCCAAAGATACTCTTTAAAGGGACATCATTATGTAAAACCGCCTTTTTTGAGCTTTATGTCATGTTGTAATGTTATTCCCTCATCAAACACATACCTGGAGAGATGCTTTGATTCTTTCATGCTTGTTTGAGAAATCCTTTAATCTCCCTTTCAGTCATCCAGGGACGCTTCAGCGCCTGCTAAACTTAACAGATTTTTAAAACTATGTATCACTCTTTTCTTTCACTTCAGTCATTTGAATCCCATAAGACCTGAAGTGTTTTATAATGATGTGGTTTAATTGGCTTTTTGTTTATTATCCCAGTAAGGAGGAGACTTGAACTCTCACAGGTCAAACTGGATTTAAATTTGCCCAGATTAGTTAAACGTACTGGGATGTTTTCTGCTTGAAGAAATCTTATTAGCCCCAGACAGAAAACAGCCATTCCTGGGTCTCATTATTGTTCACTGCGATGAGCCCTGAGCCGATAAATAAGCCCAGCGACATTCATACGGAGAAGCTCAAAAATCTGTGTCTGTGGGGCTCACAGGTTCCCAGATGCATGACTTCATGTTCTCTGCTGTTTGCTGGGTGATGGATGGCGCTCAGCAGTATTCAGGGTTTCCCAATCTGTCATGGACTCTGTGGACACATTGTTATTCAGTGAGAAAATGTGGGAAAAGCTCATGAATGAGGCCAGATCTTCCTCCTTATCTGTAAGGCTAGCCTGCCTTTTCAGGTCGAATTAAATGGACTTGGCTTCTTCTCTCCAAATATTGTTTCAAATCTTCTTCTGGGCTTTTTAATGCAGTCAAACTTACCATTTGTCACCACAGCAAAAAGATAAACTTGACACTGTGCCAGCCGGCGAAATGTCAAGAGGCTGAGTGATGGATGTCCAGGCGGAAATTTGAATGTACAACAAAAATATTCCCCATCAATCAAATGTCACTGCAACTTTATTTGGCTGCTGAATAACTTCTTGTTTCACTGGTATAAATTATCTTTTAAAATTTCTATAAGAAAAATAATATTTTTTAAAATTGAGAAAAAATGTTTTGTTTTTTCTAACTAAAACGTAAGAAAAAACTTGCAAAAGTTGACACAAACCATTTAAATTTTAATGTAACTTAAACATCCCAAATCAAGTAGACTTATCAATGGCAACAAATCATGCTGTGTAACTCTGTATTTAGCTGGGGATGCAGGTTGTAAATGTCACAGAGGACACATTATTCTCAGCATCACATGAACAATATTGTTTGTTCAAAGAACCTGTTTTTGTTTGAGACGGAAAGCTTAATATTCGGGGATGCTCTTGATTCAGCATCGCCAGGGTCAGTGTTAAGGTTGGTTGGCTGCAGAGGCCAGCAGGTATTCAACATTTACCTCCATTTTCCTCTGAGCTGTCTGTGTTTGTGCTCCACTGGTCACACCATCAGGGCCATCGGCTCCTAAATGCCAAAAGAAAAAAAACATCTCTGCTTTTTAACTCCGCTGCCCCCTCTCTCTCTCTTTCTCTGAGTTTCCTTGTCAAGGCTTACCCCATGTTATATCCTCAGGGATTACAGCTCTCCTGGTTGGAGAGCCAACCTCTTATTTTCCTCTTCAGGCCACTGTAATTCACCTGCTTTTCACAATAAGAGCTCCCCACCGCCTGCTTTAACAAGTATCTGTCACTAGCTCCAGGGATAGAAACTATAAAAAGGACCATCAGAGAACCACGTAGTTGAGGGAGAAACAAGAAGAAATAATCTTCAACCTAGTATTTTAACAATTCATTGTAAGTTTAATCATAAGGAAATACAGTATGTGGTTACAGATACTGGAAACTGGAGACTTTAAGTTTAACCATTTTGTAGGAATCTTTGCGTTCTGCAAACATTTCCTTTTTTTTTCTGTGTCTCAGCCAAATGACACTTCTCTTTAGCTGCTCTCTATCAATATATAGAGAGCTCCTCTAGAGGAATTCCTCTGAGGTTTGAGAAATACGTGGACTGCTGGTCACAAACACTGATTTCAAGGATCTATAATCAATTCAGGACAATGATGCACAGATTGTTTGGTCTGTACATTTTGACTTATGTAAGTCCTGAATGTTTATGTAATTAAATAAATCAAACAAACCATATTGAGGTACCATAAAACGCTGGCAAACTATGGAGTTTTGACTGGAAATGTTGTGGAAATCCTGCTGTGTCTTACAACTTAAGTTCTAATTAAGTTAATTGTGCTGCTTTGATATCATGTTAATTTCGGTCCTTTCATATGTGAGTGTGCATATTTGATGCTTTGAGGCCTAAGGAAATCTGGAAACAACTTCTGGCTGTAAAGTCTTAAAACTGTTTTTTAAGCCGGTGTGATATTATGCTTTAGTTTTCCAAATTATCAGGCGGCAGGGATTATCAAAAAGATGTACTAATGCTTGTTGACAGAGTTATCAAACCCTGAAGCTTTGTTGTCAGAACTGTGAACCCAATTTGCTCTGCAGGGTGAGTCATGTTAATTAGCTGTTATATCAGTAGTGAGGCATTGTTCTTTTGAATGTAGCTTAAGGTTAGCAAAAATAAATATTCACGGTGCTGAAGGTCGCCTTTCACACAGTCTATCTTTGATCCAATCAAACACAAAAACAGACAAAGCACAATCCAACTGAACAGATTTTTTCTGCTGACAAAATCTAGAAAAACGCTTCAACGACTCAATGAAACACGTTCTGTGGCAGCAAGTGAAAAAAGATGGCGAAAACATTTTCTACTTTTAATTTCAAACTGTCACAACTTATTTTTTAATCTAGCCTTTGTCTTTATTGTTTTTTTTATTATTTAATGATTCATTTTCTCCACTAATATTTCTCTGAATAAAAAAACACTGAATGCATCTTCATTACAAAAAAAAATAATACAAGAGTAAAGGAATAACATGCTTATATCTTAAGTTTTATATTCAAAAAGATTTAATGAGTCAATTTTTATTACATTTTACTGACTAAATTGACCTTTGTTACATTTGTTAGCAAAGTGATTTTTGTACCTAGCAATTTCTATATTTTAACATTTACTTACAACTTTGGCAGTCCTGGTTTTCCATATATTCCTTTATGTTTTTGTAACTGGACACTCCTGAAAATCCTCTCTTCCTTCATATTTCCTTATTTTCAGGGAGTAAAGGCTTGAGAAACAGATTAAACCTAAACCTATTTGAATAAAACTATTTTCATTTAAAAAGCTGATGGTTTGGAGATAAACGTGTCTGACTTCTCAGGACCAGTGAGCTCCCATCATGCTGCGTTTAACAACTTAACCGTCTTTCTCCTCGGCTGGGAAAAAGACCATAATCCATCTCCAGCTGTGTCACATTTTGCGACGTCTTCACTTTCATGACTTTGAACAATGGGACTGTTTATATTCCTGCTAAGAGAAACAACAGGGATTGTTTTCATTTAGCTGGCATTAACCAAAACTCATATTCTGGGTTGTTTAAAAGGGCTTCTAGAAACTGAAATTATCATTGACTTCTGAGAATTGGACTTTAATCGAAATATTGATACATTTGAACTCACCTTTGGGGGTAGGAAGAGAGGGTTTTGCTCTTCAGGGAAAACTCTGGGGAAGTTCAGGCACTTGATAGGGATGCCTGTCTTAGACATTTTCCATTAAGAAGAAGCCTGAAGAAAAATTAGGTCAGTTCAGTTAACAAATAACATCCACTTAGACCTTATTGTTGTGTTGTGGTGTGGCAACCATCCAGCAGAGGGCGACGCTGGTTATCTTTAAGCAGAGCCAGTTAATACAGAAATAATAATGGCGGTGTAATGCCAGAACTGGAAAGAGAAACGGTCCAAACAAAGTCCGGTAGGGGATGCGGAACGCATTTTATGTGGTTTTGTTTTGAAATATAAACACTCAGCTAAGTTTCCTCTTAATAGTGCTCATTTGGGTAAGCTCAAATTTTTAGAAAATCTCCCCTTAATGAATCGCTAGTTGATTTATAAGATTAATCAACTTTAGATTAACTCATTCATCACTAACTTTAATCCCTTATTGGATCATTGGTTTTTGTTTACACCTGAAGTAACAGAAGGTATTTTGAAGTGTTGATGTCTGGAAAAAGGTTTTTCATAATTTCTACTCTTCAGTTTCAAGCCTGGGTTAACCAGTTTGAATATTCCTCTGCAAAACCCCTAGTTTAATGAACAAATGAACTCATTTTTGACGTCACCCGTATGGAATCCGTGAAGGCTTTAAACAAGCTCTTTGTATAAGGATTACATGAGAAACACCTGCAGTTATTTTTGTAACAGTCTCTGCTTCCTCCTTGTTTTGCAGAGGTGTGTGACAGCGCGCTGGTTTCCAATCTGCCGCCGTCATCCTTCAGGAGCTCCTCCCAGCTGTCCAGCAGCCATGCACCGGGTTTCGCCAAGCTCAACCGGAGAGACGGTGAGCGCCAACAGTCGCTTGATGCATGTCTGCCTGCGTGTGTGTTTGTGGTGTGTGTTTCTAAGTGGGCTGAAAGCTGAAAGCACTGTAATTGCTTTGAGTATTAGAGCCTGACGCATTGTTGTGTTTCTGAGAGGAAATGTGTGGAAGTGGAGAGCGTGTAACTAATAGAGACAACACTGTGGAGGCATTAGGACCGATCTATCTGTCTCCTACTGAAATTCTGCTCTTTCTAAATGGAAACCTGTCATAAACTTTGGTTTTGTGGTTGGGCCAAAATGCAGACTGGAGTTGGGAATGAAAATGATGAAAGTTTATTAAAACCAACAAAAACTCACATAAATAAAACCCCAGCAGAGATCAATGGTAGGTTGTAATGGCCAGTGGAGAACTTTATAAAAAAACAATTTCTCCACATCACAACATTAATATTGCGCACATTGGATTTGTTTCAGAAAAGCTTTTACTAAGCCTATCACAGCAAGCAATAAATCAATTTGTCGCACGATAAATTAAAACGTGCTCAATCATTTGTACTTCCATAATTGTTTTTCTTGAGTTTCTATCTCTTTCTATCAACCACTGTATAACAAAAATGTTCAGTCTGGTGCTTTGGTCGCAACTAAACCCTTTTTTTGAAGAACAATTTTGTTTACAGAGAATTCATAATTACTTTCATTTGTTTTTTGGTTGTTTTGTTCATTTATTTTGGATATTTAAAATGTCTTCTAATTACAGGGTTAAATATCCATTGGTATTTAAAGTTTTTTGATCTTTTAGAATTGCATTATTCCATTTCCATTATATTACTTGAAAATGGCCTCAAAAGGTTGGGGTTGATTGAGAATAATGTCAAGGAAAGTATGTGGATATATTGGCACATTATTTGTTGTACAGACTAGTACACAGGACCTTAAATTTTGGTTTTAATAAATCATCTTTTTTAGTGATACTATACAGAGCTTTCATGTGGATGAAAGCCCAAAACAAATAAAAATTGATTGGTTTCTCGGATATCTATCTACATGTGAAGGAGCAGGTTGGGACAAATGAAGAAATGATCAGCAGTTGGGATGGTAAGGTAAAAGATTAAACAAACAAGAGAATAAAAGAAGAAAGAAACCCTGAAATAAATAACATTCTAACAGAATAAATCGTTAAATATGTCAAGATAAAAAACAACAAAGAAATGACCAAAGGATCATAAGAAAACCTCTCCAATTAATCATAATCAAGGAGAATCTTGTTGAGTTTATAAAAGTTGAAAGGTGAGTTTTAAAATAACATGAAAGGAAACCGAACACTGTTGCTGCTGTTTGTATTGAAGGCTTTTATAAGGGGGATAAATGTGGATAGTATTTGCCCGTCCAGCATGAAATCCCGACTGGGAGCGGGAATGCGACTTTGACAAAATAAAGATTCTTGTTTCACTGCATCATCCTGACATCAAAACCCACAACCAGCTGGGAAGGAAAGACAGGTTTATCCTGGATAAGAACCGTTCCCACCACACGGGACACAAAAACCTGGTGAACATGAAGGAAGCTCACACCATTTCAAGCTTTGTTAAAACTTTGGCCTCTAAGTGGCAGAAACTATCAACTTGATATCTTTGAACCATTTAACTTTGAATAGTTTTGTGTTTTACTGAGCATTAAATAACTTTCAATTTCAGTTTAAATCTCCAATGCTTTTGTTGGCAGTAGATTAAATAAGGTCACAGCGGTCCTTCCTGTACTTTCTTAGCCTGGAAACCTCATTTTTGTAGTTGCCCTTTCTTGACACTTGCTGCTTTAAAGCCTATTGCTATAATGAAGCTGACATTTTCTCGTCTTTGATTAACCAAGACTGGTCAAAAATGTCCTACATCTGAAAAGATTCATACACCTACTGACTGGGTCGCTAAAGTTCAAATCAATTCAACTCAGTTCGGCTTTAATTGACAGCAAATGTCATCTCAAGCACAATAGATGTACAATTACAGTTTAGATCCATTCAACCAATTCCAATAAGATATGATCGAAGGCCACAGATTGTATCGCTCTTTGCCAGCCACATGCAGCTGACATCAATGGCGTCTGTCTGTTCATCTTTATATATATATATATATATCTATATCTATATATCTATATATATATATATCTATATATCTATATATATATATATATAGATATATATATATAGATATATAGATATAGATATATATATCTATATCTATATATCTATATATATATATATCTATATATTATATATATATATAGAATATATATATATAGATATATAGATATAGATATATATATCTATATCTATATATCTATATATATATTTAAATCTGTATATTTACCTATCTTTACATTTTCAGGCTCCTAAGGGGTTTATTTTTACCCATCTAAGGTTTATTTCAACTACATTTTCTCAGTAGTTTTAAAGAAAATACAAAGTATTTCAAAATGTTAAGAATTACAACAAATAATAGAGTATAAAACAGTAATATTTAAAGGTTGTACTTTAATACCCAGAAAACATGCGAATTGTACCTGAAACGTGTCTGTGAGCTGTAAAATCCAACAGATGGAGGATCTCCAGGACGTCTAGCTGGATCTGAATCTGGGTCTTCGGATTTATAGTCAGCAGATAAGAAAGTTACTGATGCAGGATCCCAGGGAGCAAACCCTGCTGTTTGTTGAGGAAGCTGATGAATAGATGAATTTCTCTCTTTTTATTTCCATTTCCTTCTGCTGCTGCTGTTTCTGTCAACGCTCAGATTTCACCAGTTGTTCTCTGAGGAACGCCGACTGAGTTCACTGAGGCTACAAACATTAGAAGAGTTTTGCTATCAGAGTTAGTACTGGTGTTTGGAATCCTTGGAAATTCTTTATGATATCCCTAGAAGTTCTTAATATCCAATCTGCACAGTTTTGTAATAAAATGCAAACTAACGCTAGAATATTGTTTTGTCCTCCGTCAATCACACCAAGTGTTCGTGTGTCATTTCAAGACATATAATTGTGTTATATTTTAGTTTACTTTGTCTCTTATATGTAGATTAACAAAATATGTGATTAACAACAGTAATAAATGTTGTCACATAATAGTGAATTAAAGCTATTTTCTTAGTTCTTTTATATTGTCTATAACTCCAAAGTGTGCACTGTAAAAAAAACTAAACAAAAAGGCAACCACAGCTACTGGTATTTTACCATAAATTAGAGACATTGTTTTCTTTTTGTCATACAGTATGGTGCTGGGAAAGTTTGAAAACTTACCTTGAAAATGCTTGAATAGTGGTGAAATTCACTGTGAAAAAAGTGCACAGACTCTGTGTGCATGACTCCTGAATATGATATCTGTAAAAGATTTACCCATTTAAACCAAACTGCCCAAGACATTAAGACATGATCCCACAGCTTTACCTCATCTCCTATTTTTATTTTTTATTTTTACCCCCTTATCTCGCCTCTCCTCCTTTTGTTGGGCCCAAAATGTCCGTGTCAATCTTCTGCTCCTTCTATGCTAAGTTTCATTTTCTTTACCAGGAACTAATTTAGCCGGCGCTGTCCTCTTGCCAAATGCTAATAGCACTCTTCACGTTTAAACATTTTCTTTCTTCTGTAGGCAAAGCTGACAGTTATCAGTGACTCTGCTACAATTATGCTGAAATGTGACTTGAAAGAAATTGCTGTGCCAGAGTAATTTTTCTTCCCTCAGAGATTTGAAGGCTGAATTAAAGTTTAAATGAAGCCTGTGTAGTGGGGCTGTGTAGGAAGCGGTTGTTGACGATCATATTCAGTTATCCTTTCTGACCTCCAGGACGCCTCATTGTGCAGCTTGATTAACGTTTCAAATCTGTAAAATATATCTGCATCAATTTCACACGTTTACAATAACAAGAGGCAGAATAAAGAATTTCAATTCATCTGAATGTTTGCAGTTTGTCATAGTTACTGAATTGAGAACTGTTCCATTCAAATGAAAATAAACACTTATTAATGTATACAAAATAAACAATAAATGGACGGACGGACGGACGGATGGAATGGATGGATGGATGGATGGATGGATGGATGGATGGATGGATGGATGGATGGATGGATGGATGGATGGATGGATGGATGGATGATGGATGGATGGATGGATGGATGGATGGATGGATGGATGGATGGATGGATGGATGGATGGATGGATGGATGGATGGATGGATGGATGGATGGATGGATGGATGGATGGATGGATGGATGGATGGATGGATGGATGGATGGATGGATGGATGGATGGATGGATGGATGGATGGATGGATGGATGGATGGATGATGGATGGATGGATGGATGGATGGATGGATGGATGGATGGATGGATGGATGGATGGATGGATGGATGGATGGATGGATGGATGGATGGATGGATGGATGGATGGATGGATGGATGGATGGATGGATGGATGGATGGATGGATGGATGGATGGATGGATGGATGGATGGATGGATGGATGGATGGATGGATGGATGGATGGATGGATGGATGGATGGATGGATGGATGGATGGATGGATGGATGGATGGATGGATGGATGGATGGATGGATGGATGGATGGATGGATGGATGGATGGATGGATGGATGGATGGATGGATGGATGGATGGATGATGGATGGATGGATGGATGGATGGATGGATGGATGGATGGATGGATGGATGGATGGATGATGGATGGATGGATGGATGGATGGATGGATGGATGGATGGATGGATGGATGGATGGATGGATGGATGGATGGATGGATGGATGGATGGATGGATGGATGGATGGATGGATGGATGGATGGATGGATGATGGATGGATGGATGATGGATGGATGGGATGGATGGATGGATGGATGGATGGATGGATGGATGGATGGATGGATGGATGGATGGATGGATGGATGGATGGATGGATGGGCTCTACACTGTTAAAATGCAGAATGTAGTTTTAAATCCTAGAACCAGTTTAAAGATTAACATTCTTCTCACAGGCTGCCAGTGAATCATCCTGAAGAAAGAAATAGTTGAAGTTTGAACCGGTTTGATACTCTAAAAACTGAAATAGCCGCTGAACTGAAACTGTTGAGTTTGAGGCTGCAGGATTTTTCAGGTTGCAGTTCGGCCCTCGGAGTAGTGATGTCACAGTCCTGACCTCCATTAATCTTCACTTTCAGCTGTGGGTGGTTGCATCTGCCACCTTGACAGACACATGGGAGAAAGGAGCCAAAGATATCTCTCTGATTTAAAGCGACAGCCGTGACTTGAAGTGTTCAGACCGTCCACCGGAGGTTCACCTCCATTATATTAGTCGCAGTTATTCTGACGGCGAGGACACAGAGTCTCTGTACGCCTCTCATTCCCCAAGTTGTTTTTCTTTAATCTCCTTCTCCTTTCCTCTACAGTCTAATCGCTATGTGGAAAGGTCAGAGTGTCTGCCCTTTTCTTCTCTGCTGCCACCGAACACGTCTTTTAGTCAAGTGGTTATTAGCCCTGGCCTTTTGCTCTTTAGAGATCGGCTACCTGACCAACGCCGATTCATTTTCACTGCTTTTTGTTCTCTGCCTGTCACACAGCGATCACAGTTATGTCTCACTGGCAGAAACATCAGCAGATCAACCTGTTGCTGCCTTCAGCTTTACATGAGACACAAGCTGAGAGAGTTTCTGTATCAGCAAACACATCAGCGAAAACAGATTCAGCAATAAATAAACAAAAACAACCAGTATACGTTACTCAGTCTGTCCTGTCTGTTATAGACCTATTATGCTTTCTTGAACAGATCAGGATAGGTCTGCAGACTGCAAAACATTAACAAACATATGAGTTTTTTGCACAAAATCATTCTTAGATAACCGGTTTTACTCTGGTCAGTTCTGTGTATTGTGAGGTGCTTTAAGGCGTCTTGTCCCTTTAAATCCAAATAAGCTGCTGCTGGCCACGCCCCCCTTAACTCAATGTTTACAGTCACACTAATTGCACAAACAGATGTGCAATTATGCAGCTTTACAGCTTTGAAAAGCATTAGTAGAGACTTTTGCACAACCAACAAGAATGCATTAAGTAGTTTCTGGATGGCAAGTTAGCAACAACGCACTTATCTGTTCCAGCAGCCATTGCACAGCGCAGACAGCAGTAAAACAAGCTGACGAAACGTGCTGGAGCTTCGTTTGAGTTGCTGTTTAATGGGCGGAACTTGATCATGCATATCAGTACTAACAATCTATTTAAAATATATCATCTTTGGCTATTTAGGATTTATGATGTTTCTTATGAGTAATGTAATGATAATGTGTTAAATTATTTGAAAACATATTGTCACTAAAACAGATTCATAGTGTATTGCCTCCAGTCCTCAAAAGAGTTAAAGATGATTATTTCAGGCACAGCAGTTGGTTTGTGGCCATCTGGGTACATAAATGTAGACTCATACGTTGGTATAGATATTCCTATCAAGTTGCCAAATATTGTTGAAATACAAACAAAGAAATATATAGTTTTCATCTATTTTACCACTTTTTGAGGGATTTTTTTTTATCATATTCTTGCAGGTAAAGAGTAGCAGGTTGTCAGAGAACTGGCTCCAAGGTGCAAAAAGCGAAAGAAGTCCCTCTGAGTGTGTTTGTGCTCTGTACAGCTTTCTGCCGCTCCTTTTATGAGCCTGCATGTGTGTGTGTGTGTGTGTGTGTGTGTGTGTGTGTGTGGTGCGTGCGTGTGTGTGTGTGTGTGTGTGTGTGTGTGTGTGTGTGTGTGTGTGTGGTGTGTGTGCGTGCGTGTGAGTGTGTGTGTGTGTGGATGTGCGTGCGTGGGCTCAGTGGGTTTCTGGTCTGCAAAATCCGTCCATCTGGTGTTTAAGCTCTGTGTGCCATCGTTTTGGCCCGACTAAATATTTTCCACGCACGCGCACACATTTTGCATTTAGATTTATTTATTTCCAACAGGTTTTTAAAAGCAAGAAGACTAGTAATCATTAGGATAAAACATGAAAACATAATCAGGAAAAGATAATTTGATTACCACTACTTTTCTGTTTGAAAAAGACAATGAAGCTAAGAAGTGAGCAGTTTTTTAATCTTATTTCAGCTAAATAAGATATATCACTCAGTAATTATTATAAACTTGTAATTAAAACCATGCTGTGATATTTATGTCTGTATAATAGACTGCCCTAAGGAACAAACATAAATGAGATTACATAAACAAAATTATTGCAAACTAACTCTAAATCTACTGACCCATAATAATAATAATAATAATAGTAACAGCAGTTGTAAATAACAACTCCTTCCCAAAGTGTACCTTGTAATTCTTCATAATCTGTTACATACCAACAAATACAATAGCAACAAATAAAAAGACAGAAAAAAGCCAATGATAATAATGTGAATAAAAAAACAATAATAATCTGCTAATAAAGGTAATAATAACAAATGACAACAAACCAACTGTTTTTGTTTTTATTTTTTAGACTTTATTCTCCTGAAGCAAACAGCTCTGCCATCCTTAACTGAACCAACCTGCATCCTGTTTTATTCATGCTTGTCTGGTTTTATTACTGCTTTTTCAGCAGCTTGCTGGGAGAAATTGGTTCAAAACTCCTGCAAATCTTCTCACATTTCAATAATTCACACTCTTATCTCGGTTTTTATTTGTGTGGGAAAACTTCTCATCCTGGGAAATCCAGCATGAATCGCAGCACAGCTTCTTTATTGATGACATTCAACATGAGGAAGGATACACACATTAGGAGGTACTGTAAAATTAATCAATGCTTCTCATTGATTTTTATGAGAAATTAAATCACCCCGCTTCTGCAAGCTGTAAGGTTTTCAGGTCACTGTCAGTGTGTTGGCGAAATGGATCTACATCAGTACCTTCATCTTCATGCTTCTTGTACATTTCGACTCAGTTTATAAGTTAACAAAATGTTTTGCTTAGCTATTAATCTTCATACAACCTGATTGTACTTGTTCACAGCTTTTAGCCTGAAGAAGTTTGGAAACAAATATATCAAATTTTTCATAATTTTTTTTTATTACTGGACAAGGGAAGGCAATACCAGTCATATACTTAACCTGTTAGCATAACTGCAGCGATCAAAAGGAACAAATTCCAGCTGGTGTTGTGTTTTAAATCACTATTTATCACTTGTTACAGACATGAAATCAATTTTAAGGTCTTCACTGAAGTTTTTATAAATTGTTTTGGTTGCAATGTAGGAGTTTGAATTTAGCTGAGAGGCTGAGTCTCATGATTTATTATTTTAGGTTTTTTTACACAAACATATTTTGTGCTAACTAGGAGCATGCTAACTAGCATGTTAGCATGACACCAGCATTTTTGCTAAAATAAAACAAGAATCTAATAATATAATTTTCTTTCAACTTTTGTACAATATTATTCTGTTTTTTCTGTTTGCCAACATGCTAACTAGTCAAAATGGAACAAATTCCAGTTGGTGTTGTGGTTTTAAAGCGCAGTTTATTGTTTGTTATCGACACAAAATGAATTTTAAGGTTTTCACTGAAGTTTTTATCGATTTTCATTGTTCTGGTTGTGGTGTCAGAGTTTGAATTTAGCTGAGAGGCTCCTCCAGGTGATTTATTATTTTAGTTTTTTACACGAACATATTTCATGTCCTCCTGCGCAGATAAACCTAATAAATCACACGCCTCCTGCTATTTTCTCCCCCTCTCTGCAGGCGCTGGAGGCTGGTCTCCTCTTAGTTCGGACAGGTATCAGTGGCTGGAGGTCGACTTGGGTGAGCGAACCAAGATCACAGCTGTCGCCACACAGGGCCGCTACGGCAGCTCTGATTGGCTGACGTCTTACCAACTGATGTTCAGCGACACGGGACATAACTGGAAGCAGTACAGACAGGAGGACAGCATAGGGGTTGGTTGATTCTTTTATTAATTCAAAACTGAATGCAATCACGAGACATAATTTTATTTTTATAGCTTTGCATTCTTACAGACTCCATTTCCTTTGTGGCGTCTGCTGTGCTATGCATAAAGATAAACTCAGTCATCAGGAGTTTATCTTTTCATTTGTAATGTGTCAGCGGGTGTTGGAGCTCTGCTGACAAACCATTTGGCTGAACACAACAAACTCAAACGCAGTCAAGTGGGACAATTTGTTCCTTTTTTTACGTCTTGTTTGTTGCTCTCTGTCATTTTTGTCGAGGGTTTACCTGGCATCTTAAGTTCGAGACGATTTTGCCAAAGCATCAGATCACAGCTTCACATTTTCCCTTTTGATTGTGTGAAGACAGAGTGAACATAAACACACACAGAGGTAAACAGATAAGACATGAACTGAGAAGAGAAGTAACAGTTAATAGACAAGCTGTTATCTATACAAATATAGATATTTGACAGGAAAATGCTTATTAAAATCAGGGCTGCACAGTGACGCAGTTGGTAGCAATGTTGCCTTGCATCAAAAAGGTTGTGCGTACAAATCCCAGCCTGGATTTGTGCATGAACGTTGTGTGTTCCCCTTGTGAAAAAGTACAACTGGTTAGCTAATTGGTTGGTAATCTAAATTGGTGTGAGTGTGTGTTGTTGTGTGTTGCCAGGCACTGATCTACCTGTGCAACCTGTCCAGGGTGCATCTCACTTTTTAAACTACTTTAAAATACCTACTGCATGGCTAAATAATATTGCAATCCCTTGATTCTGGTTGGATCTTGCGCTCCATAAGCATAATCTTTCAATCTATCCTCCTCTCATAAAGTATTCACATGAGAAATCACTTATCCATCGTATTAATAATAGTCCCCCAACTGTTGCCAACTTGATGACTTTATTGCTATATTTAGTGACTTTTCAGACAAAAAAAAGTTTCGTATTTTCCAAAATCTGAATCAGCAGGTTAGGCTGTTCTAAAACTTATTGATCTACCAGAAACCGGCAATCAGTGCACCTCTACACCAAAGTCTGAAAGCCCATTGCTGCACTGCGGTATTTAAAAGGCATTAATGTCTAAAACTTTCTTCAAGTCAAAGAGCAGTGAAAGAGTTGTACTTTAAAGCTTTATGACTTTCCCTCTTGGTTTTGTGGTGAACTTGGCCATTTGGAAATGTTCAGAAATTATTCTTTGGAGTCATTTTGAATTTTATTTTGGCATTGAGATATTCTCAATAGTCAAAACTTGTTCCTTTTAATTTACTATTTAATCCAGACTGTGATAGTGAAGCCAGCCCATGTTTTCTTAATAAGGACTGCGGCTCATCTATCTGGTTGTTATCATTACAGAATGGATCTTATAGATCTTATGAGTTGGTTTTAAGTCAAAATGTGAATTAGCAGCATTGTATCCCTTTGGCCTTTTAATTTCTTAAAAGGTCAGTCCAGTGACAGGATGCTGCTGATGTACAAAAGAGCTTATTAAAGCTTTTCCAATAGCAATTCAAATTCTTTTTCTGTTCCTCAAGTTCAGGTTGTGCTCCATGCTAATCCTTACTAAGCTTAATTACATGCAAATGTTCCTATTGTTATAAGGACGTGATTTGGGGACCCAAATGCAGACGCAGAGAGAAGTTCATATGCACAATAAATCAAGTGGAATGGCTCAGTGGAAACAACCCAGCCAGGCGTAAACAAACAGAAATACTCATCCTCCTGGGTATTCTAACTTTTGGAGCTACTCTTGCACATCTCTACACCTTTAATTGGTATTATTCCTTAGAATAATAGCAGTTATTCCTATTATTAATCAATTGATCTGATAACATGTCTGTTCTGCAGATGTTTTATTTTATTGCTTAATTGTTTTGTATACAGTATTAGAAATACATGAAAAAATACAAATAAACAAATAATTAATTTTCCTTTTTAAATAGGAATAAATATTTTTTGCATAAAATGAAACAATACCATCCCAGGGATGCATTTGCGGATAAAGAATTACTTCTAACAACAACAAGAGAAACATTCAGCATCTTCTGCTTGATTTAACATTAACAGAACCGATTTGTTGATATTAGTAACTCAGTAGTAAAATGTGCTTAATATGAAATTTTCTTACAAAGTCTTAATCAGTTAATGACTACTAAATCATTTGATTATTATTTCAGTAATCAATTAATCACAATTAATCTGATTAGCCGTTTCAGTGCTGATATTTTTGGATTACTAATTGGATAGCTAAATGTGTTTAATGGAAGATGTTTTGTCACAGATTTTGCACCAGGTGAAGGTAAAGTTCTTTCACTTAAGGAGTTCTGGGTAGAAAACATTTCCAAAGTTTTTGTTATTATTTTATATGAAATATATACAAATATTTTGTACAGTTTTGGCTTAATTACTGCTCTGTGTATGTTGTTCTTTCAGTAAATTATCTTTTTTGAGTTTGTGTACTCCAGTTAACGATTAATCGTAAACTTAAATTTAATGATCATGTAAATAACCTATTAATCCGATTAATTGCTTCCGACTTGTCACAGACTGAAGTTTCTGCCTTCTTATCACCACATTACTCCTTATTTGTGTTTTGTGGGTGCGTCTGTCATGCTTGTCTTGCTTGTCGTCTCCTGCAGCGTTGCTGCTCTTTATCGTCCAGGAATACCAACGAACTTTGATGTCGTAGCAAAACACAGCAGTGCATCCATCAGCCCAGTGAGCCTGCCTCAGATTTGTTGAGTTCCGAGTCTTGTTTTCTGCAGAAACTCCAAATAATGCAACAAACTTACATTTTTACCCCCTCCCACACACGCACGCACACACACACACACACGTATACACTCTGAACATTAACCCAGGTTGAAGCCACATTTGTCACACTGCTGCACAGAGGAGTTTTCTGATTAGAAGCCCAGCCGAGGCAATTTCCCGTGTGGAGGGAATCCGGCTAATCTCAGCGCTGGGGATCCAGCTTTAAACGTGTTGATCTGGCACTCTACATAAATTCTGCAGCAGCCCAGCCGCATTTCAAAGTGTCTCTGAACTTCTCTTAAGGAGTCAGCTTAGGGAGTCTGTCAGAGGGGAAAAAATCATTTCAGAGCCGCTGGATCAAGCACAACACATTACCTACTGGGCTTCAGATCTCAGAATGGTGGGATGTGGTCCAGAGGAGGCAATATGTTGTTTTCCTCTGTGTTAGAGGATGTCTTCCTCCCTCCTCTTCCTTCCTTGGAAGCCTGTTGGTGTTTGGAAATGCTGCAATCCATCTTTCCTTTATAGTTGCTCCTCTTTGTCTGTTTGTTTCTTTCCTCCTGGAGGGCTCAGGATGTGAGAGCGGAGTCCTGATTGTTTTACTTCTCCCCTCTTTCTCAAATTTCCTTCATCACTTCCTTTGAAAATTGAATTTCTCGACAGTTCATTTCCATCTATTTTCTTAACATGTGATGTTCTGTTTTAGTTTATTTTGTTACATATTTTCACCAATATATTTCTGCAACCTGCTGGTTGACTCAGGTCCAGTCACCATCTGCACTGCAAAAACACAAATATTCTTGTCCAGTTTCTACTATTTTAAGTGTATGATAGTACACTTAAAATACGATAAAACTTACATAAAGTAACTTTTTCAGCTCAGTATAGTTGTTTTAAGTCAATAATTTCTTAATATTGTAGAAAAAGTTTTGTTCCATTAGCAGATTGTTTCACTTACAGTCTGTTTATCAATATTAAAGAATTATTGAGTTAAAACAAGTGCCTATACTTTGCTGATTAATTATTTGTAAGTCAGTTTTGTCTTATTCCAAGTGTATTTCATTAATACAAGATAAAAATACTTGGTAAAATTTTGTGTTTTTGCATTGTAAAAACACAAATCAGCTCTGAATCAGCTCTAAATTGGGTCTCTATGGTGCTAGCTTTATGTAGCTTTATGTGACATGTTTGTATGAATTAGTTTTAGATATTTGCACTACAGATTCAAACCTTTTTTGCAGTGTGGCTTTTAAAAAACAAGACTTAATGATTTAAAGCATTAAAAAAAGAAATCTGATGTTTTTCTCATGTAAAAACATATGAAGGTAGCAAGTAATATAATTAAATATAATTAGCTGCAACCAAAATATGCAGCCAATTCAATCTGATCATATTTATTCCAATTGTAAATATTGGAGTTCTGTCTAAAGACGCATTTTATCCGTTGATATTTATATGAAGTTTGTGCATCAGGGTCTGTAAAAGTCCTTTGATCTGGTCATATGCATGTATATTGAAATAAACTAACCTACTTAATGTTGCACCATGGTCACAGTTATGAAGTTGGACTCGTTGATATTTTTTGTCAGTCGATGTATTGTGCAAGAGTTGATTAAACACAAGAAAGTGAAGAAATAAAACATTTCACCCTTAAAAAAAATTGTGCTTCAGTTCCACTTTTCAAACTTTCTAAATCACTGTCAGCGTAAAATGATTTTTTTTGGCTCAAATGAATTTATTTGGCGATTTAAAAAACAGTCGATTGAGTCTCAAACTGATTTGAAGTAACTAAAAACTAATTTGCTATCGCAGTGAAATTCTTTTCATTATCAGACAAATCAAGTCTGCTGTCATTATTATGAGGGGAATAAATGAGTTAATTATGTGTTTAGGCTTGTATTCAGCAGTGGGGGAGATAGTTAACCTGCCCGTCAGTCCCAAGGGAGTCGAGCAATTAGGACAGATTGCCAGATGGAGGAGACTGAATGAGCAAAGAAAGAGACAGAAAGCAATCCGTCAGACAATCTGCTCATCATTTCAGAGACCAGTTTCTAACTTGTGCTCATAATTCTTTGTATTTACAAGCATTATGTTAGCAGTTGAGCAATGTGAAAAGTGAAATCTTATGTGTCGTTGAACATGGTATGTCTATAGGTTTTTACAAAACATGTACTGTACATATTTTGCATAAAATCATTCTGAGATAGTGAGATTTTACGCTGGTTAGTTCTGACTATTTTGAGCTGATTAAAGGCGTCTTGTCACTGTAAATTCAAATAAGCTGCCGCTGGCCACGCCCCCACAAATCAACGTTTACACTCACACATGAAAATAACTGCAAATAGAAGCACAATTATATAACCATTCAAATTTAAAAAGCAGAAGTTGAGGCTCCTGCACAACCAACAAAAATGCAGCAGGTGGTTTCTGCAACATAATTTTGCAGGAGCCATTATACAGCAGTTAAACCAACTGGCCAAACGTGCTGAAGCTCAGTTTGGGTCGCCATGAATCGGGCAGAACTCCGCTGGGGTTGCTAGGTAACGGTGCAGTTACCTCACAATCAATAGGTTTTTGAAGTGACTCACTTTCCAGACACCCAACTACGTGAACTTATTGTCAAAAAAGCAGCTTTCTTAAGCATTTTTACTGTTTTTAGAATCAATAGAAATCTAAATGGAAGTAAAAAACACATGTGAATTTCGCACTATAGGTTCCCTTCAAAGTAAAGGTAGCCATAAAAAAGGCCGAAATTAAGATCTTTAGTTTCGTTAGTATGTTGGGTTTGAGCCAAATATGCAAATATCTTTCAAATAAATGATTATTTAAATTATATTTCACAAGAAGAGCATTTTTTTCATTTAATTTTTGTCATGTCTGCAACATTTCTCCAACACACCTTAATGTAACAAATGGATTGTTTCCACGCCTCTTCTTCCTAATAAGGGAATTTAACCATTTGACTCAGATCTCTTACAGAACAAACGCATCTAAAAGTGATGCATTGTTTAATATTAAGAGGAGGAGTCATATTTGAAGCTTATTTAATGATTTAGTTTTTGTTACAGGAATATTTAATGTGTCTGAACATGTGTGTGGGTTTCCAGTCTTTTCCAGGTAACTCTAACGCAGACAGCGTGGTTCAGTACAAGCTGCAGCAGCCTGCAGTCGCTCGCTTCCTGCGCCTCATTCCCCTGGACTGGAATCCCGCCGGGCGGATCGGACTGCGCCTGGAGGCCTACGGATGTCCTTACAGTGAGTCTCAAACCATCTCGACTTCATTTACTGCAATATTCAGCAGCTCAGTGATCAGAATTAGCATCTCTTTTTAATCAGTCTATTCCTGCTGGGCTTTCTGCAAAAAAAATCTTCACTACATGCACATGCAAATACATTTATTTAAAAAATGGCACATATCAGGTTTTATTGTTATTCATATGCATGTTAAATGAGTATTTCTGAAGGTTTTCACCTTTTTGTATAAAATATGAGTCAAACAGGAGCAGTTTACCCCCCTAAGGTTTGATTTGAACAGAAGTATGAGGGAAACCAGCTTTTATGACACTACAACCCGATGCTGAACATAAAGTTACTTCACTGAGCCTTTAATCCTGCTTTGTAGTAAAAGCCCCAGGTTTATGTCTGCTGCCAAGCACTCAACTCGAGGTGATGTTCCTCTCTGTCACCTGCTGAACGGCGGAGAGAATTGCACCTGCAGGGGGGAGAGTGAGACTTCATGCTGACACTGTCGCGCTGCCTGGTGAATTTCACTGGAAAGCTGCAGTATTTATCTGCAGATGCATGCTTTGTTTTTCCTAGAAGGTGTTAAAAAATATTTTAAAAAGGGCTAAAAGTTACTACATTTTATTTATATAAAATTTTGGAATGTTTCTAATGTTTGCATGTAGATAGTACAATGCTGAAGCAGTCTTTTTAATCTCTTCTTAGACCTATCACTTAATTTTTTATTTTTTTATGAATATACTCTGATAAAAATATTCATCCACTCTAGATAAAATTTTTGCTCAGTTCAGTTTTTTAATTTGCCTGTTTGATAATTAAATGCGACCTCAATGAGATTTCTGTGTGAACAGAAACATTCGCTTATTATTCTCTTAATAATAAGCGAATACTTATTACGTTGCAGTTTTGCTTGTCAGTTACTTTTCTCTCATTTCAAAGGTCTTTGTACGAGAAATTACACCTAAATGTTGTTTTTGCAGTGCACGTAAATAATTCCTTAAGACTAATTTAAAATATTTACCGGCTCCATGAACAGATCATCTCATCTATTACAAAACATTTTTCCATGTTTTATGTGAAGAAACTTTACACTGGAACTGTATTGGTTGCTAGGTGACGGGCCGGGCTTGGCTGGCGTTGCTAAGTAACGGCGCGGTGACCGTTGATGGAGCTGGAAATTTTTCATCAATATCAAGGAATTATTGACTTCAACAAACTCCTGAGTTACTTGAATGAGGCAGGCATGCTTGTCTTATATGTTTACACAAGAATCTAGATGATAAATACTTGGTCAGATTTGAAGGTTTTGCAGTGTAGGTCAGTAATTCCTTAAGATTAAAATAAAAATCACTAGTTCCACTGGCAGATTATTTCATGCATAACAAGACATGTAATAAATGAAATACTCTGCCATTTGAACAGGGACTTTTCATCAATATTAATTATTTAATTACTGACTTCAAACTAGCTCCCATATTTGGCTGAAATGTTGCTTGTAAGTTAGTTTTGTCTTATTTCAAGTGCACTAAAAACAAGACCAAATATTTTGTGTTTTTACAGTGCACAGACTGAGATTCAGCTAAAAAACGCTTGTTGCTTTGAATAATTACAGGGTTGGGCCTTACTGTGGTTGAATAAAACATAAAAACATTGTCTAGGAGCTAGATGAACATGTGCGGTTGTACATAAAGGAAGCTGGAAACAGCGTTTTCAGCTCCACACAAAGGATGAGTCGGGCGGTCAGAGCTGCTCTGTAATCAGCAGGAAATGTACTGTACAGTGCAATAAGCACATTACTGCAAGCTAAGTGAGGTCAAAGACTTGCCAACTTCATTAAAAAAGAGAAAGGGAAATTAGTTGTACAACTGAAGAGAAAACTGATGCTGAGCTCAGCAGGTGCTCTTTTTAACTGCAGTCCATTCTTTCCCATCTACAGCGTTCATCTCGCCTCAGTCTAAATCCCCAGCCGGCGGAGGACTCCGGCAGAGAAAGTGCTTGATAAACAGAAAACATATTTGTAACCCAGTAACAAGCTGAACTCACTGCAAGCGTAAAGGCTGAGGATCACAACTGAAAATGCTTCTGTCTTATTTTTATTTTCAGCCTCAGATGTGATGGGCTTCGACGGCGGCAGCAGCCTGATGTACCGGCCGGGTCCGATGCCGAGGCAGGGGTTGAAACAGATCATCTCCCTGAAGTTCAAAACTCTGAGGAACTCCGGGACGCTGCTGCACGCCGAAGGACGGGAAGGGTCAGGCCTCAGCCTGCAGCTGGAGAGGGGGAAGCTGCAGCTGCTGCTCAGAGGAGGTGAAACACTTGATATTAGTGCTGGGAATGTAAGGTTTATTTGTTTTTGCTGCACAATTATTGAATAAATTAACATATAAGCTTAACAGGTAAGATATTTATTGTTTTAATCTGTTATTTAGGTCAGCAATTACCAAACTTTTTTATGTCACAAACCCGCAAACAGCATTAGCTTCTGACTGGGATCCCCCTTAACAAAAACCCAAAGATAATGCTGCAAAATATGTAAAAAAAAAAATAAACTTTTGGAGTGTTTTTTTATACTTTTATCCACTATTAAATTATTTCTTTCTTTTAGCATAAATGCTGCCTCATACTTTCCAGTTTTAGAGTCTCTTGAATTGCTAGGCTTTTTTCAACAGTCCTTCTGTCTTTTTTCTTCTCAGAAACGTTTTCATTTCATGCTTGCTTGCTATGTTAGCTATGCTAGCTTGACTGGCAGGTAATCAGAAAAAGAAGCCAAGAAAATAACATTTTGAATGTACATTTTATAAAAGTAATTGAAAAACATGGCAGAGTTTATGAAAGAAAAACAGTAAAAAAAAAAAGTATTATTTAAAGAATGTTGTAAATATTTTACAGTACTTTCCAGACTATGTATGTCTGACTGCTGTATAATTTATATACGTTTTTTCCTCTTCATAATAATTGTTTGACATATGCAACTATCTCTGTGGTGACTTATAGTCCAGAAAATACATGACTATTTATGACAAAAATAAGCAAAAAAATGCAGTCGGAACAGAATATACTTTAACATTCTTGGTGGCTAATTAGCGACCAACGCATCAGCTGCTCAGACAAACAGAATGCAGTGAGACGGCCAGAGCTCTTCAGGTGTTCTCGTTTGACTGACGGCTCTCTGTGGTGATTGGTCGGTTTGACACCACAGGAATCCAATTAGCAGCCAGACCATCTGAGCAGAAAGTAATCAGGTTGTTAACACCTGAAAAGAAACCAGAGAAACAGAGAGGAGGGAATAAAGGCAGAGAACATGAAGCAGTTTTCCTCCTGACAAAGATTTCCTCTGTGTGTTGTTGGGTTTGCCCATACAGAAACAAAGACAGAATCAGCAATTTGGGATTGTCATGCTCAGCACTTTTTTCTGTCTATCATGCCAACATATTAGACATTTTATAACTAAGAATTAAAACATAATGGCCCATATAAAGTACTTGACCAGCAAGGACTACAGTGAGATGGGTTAGAACTGGGGATGAAAACAATTAATCCACTTACGATTGTTGATTAATAGTTTATTAGATTGAAATGAGTTTAATTTGATTATGTAATAACATCCACTTAAGAGCTTCTTTCAATGTTGTAGTTTGACCACCATCCAGTAGAGGGCATCGCTGGTCATCCTTGAGTGGAGCCAGTTCCTACAGAAATAAAGGTGGTGGGACCAAACCAGAACAGGAAAGAGAAACGGTCCAAACAGATTCTGATGTGGAATGAAAAGTAAACTTTAGGTGGTTCTGTTTTGGAATATAAATTTTGACTTACTGATCTGGTTGACAGGTAAGATCCTTGCTATGAAAGCAAGGATGCAATAATAACAGAAAAGCAAAATAGAAAAAAAAAACATGCCAATAAGCAAGGTTGATTTTGAGGGATGCCGATAGTTAAAACACTTCCTGAAGTGAAATTTTAGCATTAATTCAGGAGCAACTAAAGAAAGCACTTCTGTGAGAATATCTCTCTGTTAATGAGAAATAAAGTATTTCACATATTTTATTCTTTTCAGTGGTAACACGACAGAATATAAAACAGCTAACACATAAAATTTAATGATTTTTTTTCTAATTTAGCAAATTTAGAAAAATTAAACGCTTCTTGTTATGAAGAAATGGTTGGTCTTCTTGAAATAAAAGAAAACTCATCTGTAAAGATAGTGGATATACATCCTAAAAGACTTACAAGCCACACTTTTCAGATTTTTGTTTGCATAGTTTTCTTACAAAATAGCATTTATGCGCTACAACCAGATAAAACCCAATATTTCACTCTAAAGTTTGAGGTTATAGTAGCTAAAGAAGTGCTATATGAATAATTTAGCAAGATGCTGAAAAAAATCTTGCTAAAGGTAAATGAATATTTACCTGATCCAGGAAGAATCTGGACTTTCAGGTTCAGATTAAGATCAAATAGATTCAGGCATGTGCTATAAAAATACAGTTTGTGTTTGTATAAGAAACCAAAATAAAACAAGCTGAAAACCTTTAAAATGTAAGTATATAAAAGAAGAAAACTTCAAAAGTGAAACTGTAAAAAAAGAAAAGAAAACAGCTTGTGCTCTTTTGAATCATCAGCAGAAAACAGTTTATCCATGAAAGGCAGATCTATTGTTTGATTCATCGTCACAGAGGTCCGTGAAAAAAGCAGGATGAGATCCTGTGATGTATTTTTTAGAGAGAGTTACTGCCAGCCAGCTCACATGCTGGCCTCTGATTGGTTAATTCCCGGCTCTCTCTTGGCGGCTGCATCGCCGTCTCGTCGCTGCCATGATGGATGGTTCTGGTTCGTGGCACCATGTGTTACGTCTGGACTCATCAAGACTTTCTGCTCTGCTTGTAGTCTGTACAACACCGTTTGTTTGTATGAGAGGCGGACATTTTGAGTTTAAACCAGTTTCCAACTGGCATTAACATTCATTTTCATCTTCCAAGGGTTTCTCAGTTTCTTCATTTTTTTATTTTTTTTAATTTTATACATTTTCAAGCGCTGTGGAGCATCTAAAAAGACATAAAAGTTTCTAAACAAAGATTCTGACATTGTGGAAATAACTAATTTATGTCACCTTGAGCGCTCTCTGTCAAACCTTCATCCCCTGCATCTGTGTCACCTTTAAAAAAAAATGACCCAAGTACTTTTTTGGAAAGTCTCTGTTTCTGTAACGAGTAGATCACCTTGGAAAACTGTCCAATTAGGAAGATGAACTGCACAGCCTTGGGATGAAAAATAGATTTTTCTACATCCATCTATTAGAGTTAGAAAATAATTACCAGAAAAATAAACGTTCAAGTTTTGGCCCATCCAACGAACAAAAGAACATTTTGTCTTTTGTGGGTTTTTATTCAGTCGGCTCTTTTTTACCTTGTCCAGAAATTAAAAAATATTCATCTGGCAGCAAAACTTTGAGAGGTCAACTCTCATATTAAACATTAAACTCTGGAGTGTTTCTTCTTTTAAATGGTTTCCTGATGTTACATTTTAGGCTTATTATTTCTTTTCACATATCTAAATATTTAAAACAGATGGTTCAGGATGGAGGAAAGTTTTCCTCTGATTTATTTTAAGCTGTTTTTTCCTTTTTTCAGCTTTACATTGAAAATAAACGTAATAAAATATCGACTTTATTCTTGTACATTGTTCTCATAATGTTCTGACATTTTTCTTGTATTATTTTATTTAATTTCCCTTTGAGATCAATAAAATATTTTTCAATTTGGATCAAATTTTGACTTAATTCTCGTACTATTTTCTTACAATACAATTAATTTTTCTTGTAATATTATGACGTAAATCTTATAATATTTCTTTCTATCATGCGACTTTATTCATCTAATTTTGTGACTTTATTATTTTAATATTTGGATCTAATTCTCTTTTCTCATTTTCTCGCAATTTTGACTTTTTTCTTGAAATATTTCAACTTATGATAGTCCACTTTTATTCTTGTTTTTTTTTCTCACAATATTATGACTTTTTTCTCATAATCACTTTTTCCTTTAAACATTTATTTATTTTTGTAATATTTGACCTAATTCTTTTACCATTTTTTTCTCACATTACATTTTTCTTGTAACATTATAACTATAATCGTGTGATGTTATTCCCGTAATATAACTTTTCTCGCAATATAACATTATTCTTCTATTTTTATGATGTTTTCTTGTGTCATTACAGATTTATTCTCATATTATTTTGATTTGCTATTGTACGACTTTATTCTTGTAACATTGTGACTTTATTTTCCGATGCTTATTTCTTGGGTTTTCTTCTCTCATTGCTTCTCAGAAGCAGCTTTAAGCTTTTTGTATATTTTTCAGCTCTCTGCTTTATATCCTGCTTTATTTATGGCCTGTTTTACCGTTTTGCTCATAATTCAGGTCGTCTGCTGACCCTGAGTTCATGCCTGCTGTTCTCTGCAGCGCCAGCACATCCAGGCCTCTTTTCTCCTCCCACCGTTCACTTCAGATCTCGCTCCTCACTTTATGAGGCAACACTGAGCAACAGCCCAGAAACTGCCAACATGATGCTGAATAACGGCGGCACCAAGAGCTGCAATTAGAAACTTCAGAGCTGATTCATTTGGAGCACAAGCAAATACCTCGCAGAGCTTGTCTGTCATCTGAAGTTATCTCCCTCGTAAACTAAATTTTTGGTTCATTTGTTCGTTTTGAGCTTTAGGACATATATTGTAATTATTATTACTCAGCCTTGTCAAGCCAAATCTGATTCTTCTTTTGTAAAAAAGACGTGAGTCCCTTCTATCGGGGAATAAAAAGAAACAGATCCAGCTGCAAGCCTCGCGTTATGTGATCTGAATTGAATCGTTACAGGCCGTCTTTGACGGAGGTTGAGCTTTACGAGAGTCAGCCGGTGAAACGATGTAACACCAAGCGGTTTTCCCAATAAGAGCGATCAGATTTAGAGGCGTTTTAATAGGAAGGCAGAAGAGATACGATGAAGCGATTTTCCCTGGAGGTCAGGCGCAGAATGATAAAACAAACAGCGCAGTCAATCCTAATGTCCTTCAGATCACCATTCAATCTGAAAAGCATTTATACTTTCACTTAATCCAGCATTGAGTTTTCAAAGGAAGACAGGAATGATCTTGAGTCCTGCGCTTTCTGAAGGACTTTGTCAGGAAATAAAGGCATTTCAAAAAATAACATCTTTATTAATTAAAATGATTTTCATTGTTCGTTTTCATCTAAAAGCCTCAATTACATATGTTTTTGTTTGTTTAAGGATCCCAGTTAGTCTCCACCATAGCAGAATCCACACCAGATATGACTATGAGAATCCTTTACAAACATTCCTAAAAACACACAAGGTATTTCTTAAGACACAAGCAAAAAGAAACATTGTCAGTTTCTGTCTGTTTATTTAGTGGGGATTTTTTTTTTGTCATGATACAGGACTAATATCTTTTATAATTTTTATAAAATGTCTTAAACTTGATCTTGTAAAATCTACAGAAACCCTGGTTCTGTCGAATATGTAGACATACTCAGAACATATCAAAGTACTTCTTCAATAAATGTTAAATGTATATTTTGTTGTGTTAATGACAATCAGTTCTTCTACAGAGTGATTGATGAATCACTCTGCAGTGATTGAATCGGGGCACACCGATTCCAATTTTGGCCAAGAGTTAAAAATTTATGTGAACAGACTGTCAACTTAAACAAATATGTATATTGTGTGATTTAAAAGTGTTTATTTATATACTTTATGTTTGATGATAAACTCTAAATCCTTGTTACTGAACACCTCTTTGCCATCACCCTAATTTTTAGCTTCATCCACAGATTTTGCATCCGGTTAAAACAAACAAATGGGCCAGACCTAAAACTACGATATGCACTGAACAGAACATAACCGGTTTTCAGAAGCATTAGAACAGATTTATTTGATTTTTATTTGTTCTTGCATAACTCTGCATGTAAGTGTTATAATCCTGTTTACATATGGCTCATTTGAGTTGAAGATTCCACTGAATTACTATAGTTTGGTTGATTTTCTGCTTCACCAATCAGGACTTTTCAAAATGAGTTAAATCTGCTGAATTTTGACATCTGAAAAAGCTCCCAGCATTCATAATCAGTGTTATCATTAGGGAAATTTTCTCAGTTTGAACATTTAATATGTGAGCTTGATCTCTGTCTTTTCCTCCACTTATGAAGTAATCACATCATTTATTTGATGAAACATCCATCCACTGAGGTCTCCCTCTTTACAACCTGCAGCATATTAATTGTCCTATTAATCAATGCCAGAGAAGATATCCAATTTGTTTTGTCTTTCCTCTCATATTGATTGCTTTTGTCTCTTTCTGCTCATCCGCACCGAAATCAAATAAATCATCACAATAGCTGCACTGACAGTACAGACGTTCCTCTCTATCATGAGGTGAAAATCATAACTTTCTCTGTCTGGATGAAGTTGTTTTTCTGAGGAAAATCTATCCTCTCCTGGAATGAGCTCAAATATCAAAGGTACATTTGTCCGTCATCCTTCGAGCTGCCGACTCGTCTCTTTCTCTCTCTGTCTTCTCCATCTCTGATGTTGGCATTGCCTCCCCCCAGAAGAATGCACTATGCATTTTTAATGCGCCTTCTCACCAGTTTCTTCTCTCAGCAGAACCGCAAAGTTTTCTCTCACGTCCCAAGTGGAGATGCACTTATTAGGACCGGCTGCTTCTCATTCATCATTAATGATGTCTCACCATGTTCCTTTCTATTCACGGGTTCCAGACAAGTATGCAGATGTACTTAAGGGCTTCTAATGAGACGGCCTTGCACTGACCCTCCCTGCTATAAGCGGAGAAAAGAAGAGGTTTTTTAATTTCCCTTAAAGGATTTTTCTGTTGCTCTGACTTCAGGTCAGATTGTCAGAAAGCAGCAGATAAACAGATCAAATAATGAGGATGAAAATAAACATGGAGGTCAGGCAACGGAGCAGCCAGCCGTCAGGTCAAACATACGTAAAAGGAACAGAGGATAAAAACTACACATCTAAACAACAAACCTGGATGAAAACCTAAAAAAAACAAACATATGTGCTCTGTTTTTTCCAGTCACCTCTTCGTCCTCTGAGCCCCGTCGGCTGACGTCCCTCGGCAGCCTGCTGGATGACCAGCACTGGCACCTCGTCATCCTGAGACAGAGAAACTCCCAACTCAACCTCACTGTGGACAAACACACGCAAACGGTCCAAACCGCTGAAGAATTCAGCCTCTGGGACGTTAAACTGGTGTGTAAGAGCCAGGAAACATCCACATGAACCTGATTTAAACTCATTTAATCCACATTATGTTCAGCTGATTGTAGGAGCGTCGCAGAATCCAGGCGCCGCCAGGAAAAACTTTCTAGGCTGCCTGGAAAACCTGATGTACAACGGTGTTAACGTAACAGAACTAGCTAAAAACAATGACCAGCAGGTTAGCATCAAGGTAAGTAAAGTCTACATTTATTTATTTAAAACAAACAAACAATGAAACTGAAGGTTACATATCAAGTCCAGTCGCTGCTGCAGAGGATCTTGTTCATGTTTGTTCTGTGTTTATTTTACCTTTTTGCTTAAACCAAAAATCTTGAAGATTTATTAACCCTACTGTCACAACATTAAAAAAAAATACTCCATTAAGTATTTGCTGAGTGTTACAAAGTTAGTCAAATTTGCTGACAACTTCACTGCAAATAACACAAAATAATACCACGAATATTTGGTGAAATAATCTGCCAGTGCAACAAGTACTTTTTATCAATATTAAGGAAATATTGACTTAAAACAAGCTCTTATTTCTTGCAAGTAGAGCTGTAACGATTCCTTGAATGATTCAAGTACCTCAATTATTAAAATTCCTCAAGGAAAATGACCTGCCTTGAAGCTTAAAATATCTTTTATTATTTAGAACGCCATGTTCCAACTCTGTGATTATTTGTGTTGCGCAACGCTGATGAGTTGTTGACAAAAGCTAAGTGCTACTAGCATAATGTACAAGTTTTACATTCGGTCCTAAATTAATAATTTACAACAACCCTACTTGTAAGTTAGTTTTGTCTTATTTCAAGTGCACTAAGATATTTGCACTTGAATTTAGACAAAAATGACTTGATAAGATTTTGTTTTTGCAGTGGTTTATCCAGATCATCTGTTGTGAGGCGGACACATCACATATAAACCATCTGCAGAGGCAGCTTTGATGTTCATCTCCTCAACTCCCTCAGCGCTGAGCTTTCATATCAGACAGTGAAGGAAGAAAGAATCAATCGCAGCAGCCGAACCTTCTGAAAATAAATAATACAGGCTGAAAATGACTCTTCACAGTCAGCGCATGAAACGAGGTCTCTGTATTCCTTCACTTGTTCTCAGTTTAAAAAAAACTCGACATCAACGGATTTCCAGATATTTTCAGGAACAACTGCGCTCTGTTAAACATTTGAGCTGCATCTCACTTCAGATTTTGAACTTAAATGTTTGTCCTTTCAAAAGACTCACCGCAGTAAGTTGGATTAACTTTTTCAAATCTCCAAGAGCTGAACAAATTAAGATTTTTAAGTTGGCGCGGCAATGAGGTAGTTTCTGGACTGTAGCCAAATTAGTATATTTTGCAAAACAGCAATGGAAACACTTTCTTCATATCACACAAGTCACATGATCAAAAACCGGATGTTACTATTGGCCAAAAAGACGGAAGAAGAAACAGGAAGTGGTAGGAGGATGATGTAACAACATGATTTTTAGTGACTTGAACAAACTTATTAACGTCTAATTTCTTATTTTATGGAAACATTACAATTGCGAGATTGGGATTTTTCAACATTAGTGGAATGTAGACAAAGTTTTGCACACATTTGTGATGAAAACGCAGGTACAAGCAAGAATCATTCAAGTTTATTAGTTCAAACCCAGAAATGTACCATGTCCATTCCAGTGGACATGAGCTACCAGAACTTAAAAAAACAACTCGTCTCATAGTTAAATCAACTTTATTAACTAATTTCTGAGTTAATATCAGAATTTTCCTGTTGACTTTACGTGCATTTCCAAGACATTACTTTCACTTTCAAGTTAAACCACCATCAAATGTTTTACAGTGCAGCTGTTAGCTGGTTCAAACTTTCTGTGTCAATGTTAGAAAAACAAGGAGCAGCAGCAGCAGTAAGTGTGAGCTGCTTTTCCTTTCAAAGTGCAGAACAGCATTAGTCCTGACAGAATCTGTTGCTCTCTCAGTGATGGTGTGTTAACTCAGTTACTGCCTAATTTAAAACACGCCTCTAATGCAGAACCCTCATAAGTCCTAGCATGCAGAAGTGCATGCCGTTCTGCAGTTTTAGTGTGGGGTGAGGAGCATCGCCGGATTTTTATGGTCCAATTTTTACTTTATATTTTGCCGTGATGATGCATTCTGCAGCACACGCGTCCATATATCACTTTTAACAGCTCTACAAAGGGCTTTTAGATGTCATCTCTGTTTCCAGAGCATTATAAAGATAGCCGGGTGATATTCCCAGCAGAACGCCGGCGCAGTAATATATTACCGCTGCAGCTTTAGCGGCGGCTGCTGTGTCATTATGCCTCAGAACAATGGACTGCAATGAAGCGACAGCCGAGTCCACACACTCCGCCCCGCCGCCAATGAGACGTTTCAGTTTGTGCTTCTGTTCTCAAGGAGACTCGCTGATGAGACACGCCCCCTGCAGCTTGTTAGTATTCATGTTTTCTGTTGTTTTATCCTTTAGTAATCAGTTTTTATTCTTTATTGTCAGGGCAACGTGACCTTTTCTTGTGCCGAGCCAGTTGACGTTGCCGCGACGTTCCCGGGACCCCACAGCTTCCTCTGGGTGCCGTGGACGATGCCATCCGCGTCATCAGGGATGTCCGTAGGGTTTCAGTTCAGGACGTGGAACAAGGCCGGGCTTCTGCTCACCTTTGACCTCCCCAGGCAAGGAGGCGAGGTGTGGCTGTACCTGGCAGAGGCGAGTCTTCGCCTGCAGATCCAGAGAGGAGGCAGAGCGCTGCTGGAGCTCAGCGCCGGTCAGTCTGCAGGATTCAGCAACTTTTTCACATTTTGTCACTTTACAGCTGCAAACGTCCATGTGTTTCCTCCTCTCAGGCCATTGGACTGCACTGTAAAAACACAAAATATCACTTAATATCTCAGTTTTAAAAAAGTAAAATTCAGGCAGCTGTCAGGAAGATACTCTAAAGTCAGGACTCGCTTTCCTTTCAAAAAGTGAATCAAGACTCTTTTTATTAGCAAGTTCTGCTAAGTTGTGGAAAACTTAATGAATGACCTGCAAATTTCACTTTTTACACATAAACTGCAAAAACTAGTGAAAATGTCTTGGTTCATTTGAAATAACAGAAAACTAACTTACAAGTAATTTCTCATTAAGAGAGAATAATAATTCTTTCTGAATAATTCAGTAAATTTGATGAAAATGTGCTCGTTTCACTGGCAGATCTTTTCTCAAAAATAATCTGCGAATCAATAAAGTACATTTTCATCAATATTAAGGAATTATTTACTTAAATCAAGCTAATTTTTTGCTGAAAAGTTAGTTTTGTCTTATTTCTCCGATATTTGCAGGATAAACTAGGGGGGTTTAATCTGGGGTGAGGTTTTGTGTTCTTCCATTTAAACCTTGCGTATTTTCCCTAGGATCTGGGTTGAATGATGGTCAGTGGCATTCGGTGGATCTGACCTCCAAGCCCGGCCGCCTCACCGTCTCTGTGGACAAACAGGAAACTGGCGTTGCTCACGCTTCCCCCTCGTTTCCTGTCTCGGTGTCGAACAAGATCTTCTTTGGAGGTAAATGTGAAACACTGCGGCAACCGACCAAACCCAAACCGGAATCCTGCTGCTGTTTATATTTCACTCTTAACAAATTCAGGCTCATATTTCTGATGTTCCTTACAACAGAGTAGAATTGAGTTCACCATTAGATTGTATTCAGGTAAGTAAAACACAAATGGAAACATTCATATTCACATACAAAGATAAAAATAAAGAAGACGCTACAGCAAAGGAAAAGTTACCAAATAAGAAATGTTTTAGTTTTTCCTTTCTAAATTATTATAGCAGAGATGGTTATCAACACAGATATAAATATAGCAAGTTAAATAATCTACATTTTCCTGAAATGTGATGCGCATCTTCTTACATATGTTAAATAAAAGAAAACATAATTAACAATTTGTACTGTTTTCATTTGTCCTCTATGTGTTTTATTAAGCTTTTGAAAAAAGTTTTTTACATCTGACTTAAAATGTTAAGTATTAGCATATTCTTTTGTCTGTCAAATTGTAATCATACTTATTTTTTCCTTTTCGTTTTTTGTACATTTTGAAGTATTTCCTTTGAGACGAAACACATTAAGCTGCCAATGAACTTAAAACATTTAATAATATGCTGTAAAGAGAATGGATGAACACACTGCTGAATCAATTACAAACAATATTTTACTATATTTCAAAATGATTTGTTGCTTTTAATTTAAACAAATTGTTCATTGTTTAACACAATACTCCAGGAGTAAATCTTTAAAAAAGAAAAACAAAAGCTAGAACTAGCTTAGCATCATTACCAAAGGCTAATCTGTATCCAATATGAACCCACAGGCTTCATCACAACAAACGTGAACAATAAACATTCTCACAAAAGTCTGAATTAAAACTTTTACTCCTAAATATTAATCAGAACTTACAGACGGTGGTGATGATGCAGATGGATGGATGAGCTTGATACTGAAAGTTAAACAAGATGGCTGACTTCCTGCTACATGCCCAAACAGACCTTTAGAATAAAACACATCACTAAGTTAAATTACAGCACTTATGCTACCACAATTTTCATGCCTTGTTAGTCAGGGAGCAATTAAAGCTGGAGTTGGACACCATTATTCCTGGTGATGCTTACCAGGAATGGGGTTCGAACCCACGAGGACATTTGTCCATTGGATCTTAAGTCCAACGCCTTAACCACTCGGCCATCCTGGTGGCTGTACTTCCTGACTCTCAGGTAGATTTGGTTTGGCTCCCAACCGCAACTGATGACAAATTTAGCCCGTTTGCTCTGGTGGTTGATGCATATTTAGACATTTAACTTTTTTTACAGTATTTGTCATGTAAAAACCATGTAGAGTAAATAGATCCACATCCATTCAGTGATACCCAAACGTTTTTTTTTTTGGTGTATGAAAAACATGTCAAAAACCTCCTGATTGTTGAGTAACAACCTGTGGGCCCCATTACACAGCCCTGTTGCTAAGCAACAGAAGCTGAGCAGGTGGTTGTACCGCTGTGTGCGCTGTACAATGGCTGCTGGAAATGACAAGTGTTTTGTTGTTGCCTTACTATTCACTTGCTGCGTTATTGTTGATTGTGCAGGAGGCTCTCCTAATGCTTTTCAAAGATGTATGGTTGCTTCTGAGTGTAAATGGTCAGCAGTAGCTTAATTAAGGTTTAATTAAGCTAATTGACCAGTCTAAAATGTCGTTATCTCAGAATGACTATGTGTAAAAAAAAAAAAAAATTGGTCATAAACTTATTCCAACTTGTTCAAGGAAATGTAATAGGTAATGTTTTGTAGAAAAAAAAATTGTGATATTAAGTCTGGGTCGGATTGGATATCAGTGCTTTTGACTTTATGTCTTTGGCCCAAAAGTTTGGGCTCCAGAACTGACTGCTCTTTTCCCATAGCAGATAAAATATATTACAGGAAATATAAAAAGGCTTCCACTGGTAGCCTTTTTACAGTTATTAAAGTTAAGGGTTTACCTAATTTTTCTCCCTCTTAATCTTCCTTTTCTTAATTTTAAGCCAATTTTATTTCTCCTTGTCCTTTTATCCTATTCCACCCTTTTGTTCGCTCTGTTCTCCTATTGTTTCATTTTTCACCGCCTAAATGGCCGGCCTGTTTTCGCCCACTAAGCAAGATTCTATTCTAGACATATTCTTATATCTGCCTTTGGGCTCTTCATCATCTTGCACATGCATATTCACAAGTTTAAACAGTATCTCCTTCTCCAAATTTGATGGTAGGAAAAAATAGTTCCTCTTGTTAGAGTGGTATCGACTTCAACATAATAAGAACCAACTCACTACAAATCAGAGGGTTCCTTTAACTTAGAGCATGTATGTCAATTTAATTTCATATTTTATATGGTATTTTACATGGTATTTATTCTCATTAAGTTTAATAATCTTTGCTGCTGTGTTTTAATCTCCTCTCTGCTGCTTTTTCAAGGTTGTCCTGCTGACGATTATAATCAGGAATGTAAAAACCCTCACGACACTTTCCAGGGCTGCATGCGTCTCCTTGCTCTGGACAACCAGCCAGTCGACCTCCTCATGGTGCACCAAAGGCTTCTGGGAAACTACAGCCAACTCCAGATCGACATGTGCGGCATCATCGACAGGTCAGAGCCTCCAGAATGCTTCCAGTCGGTCTGCAGTTAGAACGGGGTTTTCCAGATGGTTTCAATAAACACAAATCTGAGTTTGCTGCACTGATTTTCTGGCAAATATGGTTATGGATTCTGGGAGTTTTTATACTTGGTACAGAGTTAATGTACTATTTCTGCCTCCGAACTGCTTAAAACATAAAACAAAGGGGAGGAAAGAAAACTGGATAAAACAGCGAAGGTCACGCCACCATTTTAAAACTAATCAATAATTATCGATGTCGACTCAAATGAAAAATGATTCCCACCATATTGTCCAGCCCTAATTCTAATGTAATTTAAGAAGTTGGTCCATCATAAGTGTCTAAAATGTTTTTGCTCAAATTCAGTCTTGTTTCAACTGGGAAGAATGAAATATAGTTCATCCCTTAAAGAAGATACCAGGAGTGGGGTTTGAACCCACGAGGACACTTGTCCATTGGATCTTAAGTCCAACGCCTTAACCACTCGGCCATCCTGGTTTGTTGCAAAAATGCAAAGTCTTAGTTTCTCATGCAAGTATTATAGAACGCTAGACATAAGACAAGAATAAGTATGTTTTCATAGAGGTATTTTAAAGTGATGAAGCGGTACTAGTTCCACTGACAGATAACGATAAGAGATCCATATGGTCTGCTTACTTCTAGTACAACACTTTTCAGGAGACAAGTGGTGAGGATTTCCAGCAGGAGTTTACCAGGAGTGGGGTTTGAACCCACGAGGACATGCGTCCATTGGATCTTAAGTCCAACGCCTTAACCACTCGGCCATCCTGGTGCTCTGATGATGCAAAGCTACATTGTAACCTGACACAAAAAACTATACAATTTTAGAGCTCCTGAAAATCTTCAACAAAATTGGAGAACATTGAATGAACATAATAATTTATCATTAAAGTAACATTTTTAGGAGTTACCCCTCACTTGAGTGAAGCTGGCCAACTCACCTTCTTCAAATTGAACAAAATTTGTGTCAAATGTTGCGTTTGTGCCGATACCATTCATAACATTTTAAAAGTAAAGTTTCTAGAGGTGAACATAGATCAGCCTGTCCCTCCCCATGCACTCCCACGTTAACAAAATCAAACAAAAATGAATTGTTTTTGTTTTTTACAGGTTAAATTACTGTAGCACAGTTGATTGTCAAAGTTTTTTTATCTTGTTATTGTTAGGAATAATCTCTCAGCCACCTTGTTTATGGAAACATTATTCATACCTTTAAAGCGATAGCAAACCAAACACATGACAAGAAAGCTGTTTGAGTTGTAAGGTGATTTGGTTTTACTCAAGTTTGCTACATAGATTGGTACTATATTTCACCTCTTGGTCTCTATTGCCTGTACAGGAGGAACTAGTTGTCAGTCAAAGAGTAATACCAGGAGTGGGGTTTGAACCCACGAGGACACACGTCCATTGGATCTTAAGTCCAACGCCTTAACCACTCGGCCATCCTGGTTGCTGTGTATTATTCATGTAGCTTATTTAAATTAAACTATCTAAGGTGAATTTTATCATTTAAGACTGTTGCAGGTTGTCTATGTATGTTAAAGTAGCCAGGCCCTATAAAATGTCGAGACCGGCTGTTTAATTCAAATGCTGGGGAGCTGCTACAGTTTGTCAACTTTCATCCAGACTTTTTTGGTCATGTCCTCACCCTGACCGTGTCAGATACAATAGCTGAGCACCTTTTTTGCTCTGGATTATCTGAATTGCTTTGACCTTAAATCTTTTGTTCTGGAGCCTGAAAGGCCATAAAGTTGAGAAACAAAACTACAAGAATGTCACCGCTGTGACGTTCAGCTCCCACACACAGATCTGACTGCTCACTGAAACAGAAAAAGAGAAATAAAATCACTGCTCTCCACACTCCCACTCTGATTAAATTCAGGGTCCATGAGAGATGAAGTTATGAGGAAAATTGAGTTGCGGACCCACCTTCCGTACGCTTGTCTGACCTCAGATCAAACTATTACATCTGTGTTTGCGTGTCTGTGTCCAGCCTAAAGGGCAAAGCAACCCCCACAATAAGCAACACACAGGAGCAGCCACGCGTTTAATTGATCAGAGCGATCAGTCTGATGACAGGAACTGAATCAGCAGCTCTGCTCTTATTGCAAAACCTCTGACAGAAATGCTTTGCTTGGTGTCTTTCATGAATTGTTTGGGAAACCTGAAAACGTAAAATTTTTTATTTAATTTTAAAGAGATTGGTCGAAATTATTAGAAAGTAATTTTACTGTATTTTAACTGTAGTGTGTTCTGCACTCGCTCTTTCTTTATGAAAATTAAGCCTAGGTACTTCCTGTCAGGCTTCCTGTCTCTACAGAGATAGGACTCTTCATCTGCTACATCTACTATCTTTAACGAAATCACAGCTTATACACAAACTTGTCACAATGTGCATAACACATGTAGTTGAGTCAAGCGGCAGTCAGTCACCCTGATGATACCAGCTGGTCTCACTTCTAGTTTTTTCTGACTTCAAAGCAGGGGTGTCAAACTCCAGTTGTGTTCAGTGTCTTCTTCAGAGGTTTCCATGTTATTTAATTCAGTAATTCTTGGTGCAGCGTCACCACAGGTGAGGAAGGGAACAAGTTTTTTTTAACACGTTTGGTTCATTTGACAGAAGTGTTGCAATTCTGGTCTCCAATCGGATAGAATCTACTAGACTAGCAGGTGAAAAAACGCCCTTAGCTTTAATTCATCAGCTGATACCATCATGAACCAGAAGTTACTTCAACATTTCAGAAGTTGCTGATAATGTGTGTGATAAAATTGTAACTGTCATACCAAAAAACTAATCAATAGTTATTGACTCATATGAAATACTTAAATTGCGTTAAAATTTCCCACCATATTGTCCAATCCTTCAATTCATTTGTAGTTGTGTCTGCAACAGAGTAATTTTAGTAGATGAAACTATTTTGCTGATTATTTGATTAATTTGCATGTCAGGTTTGGTTGCAGTGTGAAAGAGAACCACAGCTGCTGAAAATATAGCAAATATTAGATTTTTGAACCTCACTTGAATCGAGTCTACCTGACTATCAGGTGGGAAAACTTCCTTCGAATCGCACTTAAAGCACCAGCACATCTATCTGCTTTCAAAAAGCAGTAACAGAGGAAAAAGAAACTGCCAAAAATTGCAGTTTTTTTTACACCTATTTGTGCCCTTTTTATCCTCTTTACTTACCTCAAAACATAAAGCTACGGCTTTCATCATTAGAACATTTTTCCTTCTGTCGTTACTAAACTTTCAGTGCATGTGTTGTGTTTTCAGTGATGATGGACTCAGTTTGAAGGTAGTTTCTTTAGCTACAAAGCAGCAAAATGCCTCTGTTCTTTGCCATGATTTTCTGTCTGTGATGTTGAAAGCTTGTCAGCCCTCTTGATCAAACATTTGAACGCTAGAAGTTTCCATTGAGCCCATTTGTTTGACTTGTTCTAACTGTCTTTTACGCTCTGAAGCTTTGCGTTTCTTGAGACTTTCTTTAGCTCTCTGAGACAATTTACTCTAATCAGTCACATTTGCACATGAAACGGAGAAATTTCTAATTATTTTGTTGCTGCAACTGAACTTTAAATGTGGTATTTTACTATTTTTTGGACACGAATGATGCGTATGCTGTCTTCATAAAATAAGAGTAAAGGTCTATCTAATGAGGGAAGTCAAACTGATGTCAAATTTTATTCAACTAAAAGTTTACAAAACAGCCAAGTAAATTAGCGTTTTAAAATGTATTTATTAAAAAATCTTTTAGGGGAAGCAAAGTGCGATAAACATTTTCAAAGTTCACAAAAATAATAAAAGTCGCTGAGCTATCGGTGGATTAGTGGATTAGGAGACTGATGCTGTGATGAGCGTTTTATAGATATTTGAGATACCGACTGTTTGACACCAAGGACATCTTCATCTGTTTCTCTTCCATGCGGCGTCCCACAGGGCTCAGTTCTTGAGCCTCTACTTTTTTCACACTATCTTCTTCCCTTTATCTCCATTTTTAGGAAAAATAAATGAGCCTTTATTTTTTTGCTTATAAATGCAAGTTTTATATGAGAGAGAAAGAGACTTTGAAACAATAACTTTATGTTTAAGTTGCTTTATAGCGTCTTTTCTGCATCTTCTTGTATTTTGCTGTCATAATTCTATCTGTTCATCACTTTTGGATGATTTAAATGCACTTTGCTCCACATAATATTTTAGAGTTAATGAGAATTTCTGAACAGGGTCGGTAAAAAGATAATTTTCTTCTGTTTTAGGTGCTCTCCCAGTCACTGTGAACATGGCGGCCTCTGCAGTCAGACCTGGACCGTCTTCCACTGTAACTGCTCCGACAGCGGCTACAGCGGCGCCACCTGCCACAGCTGTGAGTCACATGATGCCCACATATCATCACGTGACCCGTAAGACACACAGGCTCCAGACGACAAAAAGTCATTTATTGTTATTTATCATTTTTATCTGTTATTTATGTTATTTCATCCCAGATTGCTTCAAAGTGCCATTCTGGTGCTTCTGGAGCTGCAAAAGCTAATATTAGTGTCTGTGCTGCTGCTACATGATTAGCATTGAGAAGCTAATTTAGCCTTGATTAGCTTCACTTGTAAGCTATTTCCATATAACACAACTTGAACACAACTATAGTCTTTCCCAGTGTCCAAAACAGAAATGGCAGAGAGAAGCTGCTTCTCATGACCAAATGTAAATTGTTCATCATATTAATGGGCGTACTAGAAACACACAAATTCAAAGAATGAAATTTATTGCGTTTCAGTGAAAAACCTTTTCTAACTCTTCATTGTATGTGTTGAATAAAAGTATTTTATAAACTGAATTGTTTTGCTGATATTCCTCAGACTTAAAACCTCAGATTATTTTTCTTGCTGTGATCTCTACATATGAAGTCACCCCCAGGTTTAGCGGTTTTCCTTGTCCTTTTCCAGCATTCTGACGATGTTCTCATTATTTTTCCTCCCAGCGGCATATGAAGAGTCCTGTGAAGCGTACAAACACAGCAGCAACACGTCGGGATATTTTTACATCGACGTGGACGGCAGCGGACCCATCAAACCGCAGCTGGTCTACTGCAACATGACAGGTGACACACACACTCTCAGTCCATCATTCCTCATTAATGTTTTACAGGGTTTCATAATTACAGCTGATCATCATCAGCTTTTATTCTACATAACCACATCTGTCCTGTTTGTTTATTGGTTGTATAAACAGATTGGTGTTGTATGTTGGATATTTTTCATCTCCTCGTACATTTTTAATTGCTTTGATTGTCTTTGATTTGTCCCAGAACATGTTTAATACGATGTTATTTCACTGACATGTTTAATAGAGTCAACATTTATTTGACACATTTTTAGATAAATAGTTATTTTATGCAATTTTAATGGACAAAGTTATAAACTACTTTTATTTCAACTCTTCAGAAGCACAGAGTTAATGTTCTGAAACAAAATGATTTTCAAAGCAGGAAGTTTTTCTTCCTCCACATTTGTCTGTGACGAGGTCACTTCATTGTTTATATATTTCTGACTTCTTCTACTTCTGTTGGACATAAGTTTTACGCTGTTATGTTTCTTTCAGATATAATCATTAATATTCATCACCTTATCGTCCCCAGATGAGAACACCTGGATGGTGGTCCAGCACAACAACACAGAGCTGACCAAAGTTCGACCCTCTCCGGGCAAAAACCAGCATTTGGTTCACTTTGACTACATGTCTGAAGAGGAACAACTACTTGCCATCATCCACCAATCAGAGCATTGCCAACAGGAACTGTCCTATCAGTGCAGGAAGTCCCGCCTACTCAACACACAAGGTAGATTTGATGTAATTAATTATGATTGGCATTAAAAGGTTAGTTATGCTAACACTGTATTTAGAAGAAGCTAATGCTAAAGCACTAATTTCGATTTAGCTTATGTCGGCCAAGGAAAAACTACAATTCTCAAGCGCAAATTTAACTCTTGACATTTCAGTTTACATATTTTAATACACCCTTAAATATTGTATTTAATGTTTATATATTTATGCTGTTCCTGCAAGTTTCAAAATAAGAGCATGAATCTAAACAGTTAGCCACTTGATGAATTCTCAACAGCTGGTAACCAAAACTTTACTCAGCTGAAAACTTACAAAACAGATGAGTAAGTTAGTGCTTAAAGAGTTTTTCCTAAAAAATATTTGAGGGGAAACTAAGTGCACGTAGGAATTTTAAAGAAATTAGCACCATTGCTAGCGCATTAGCACATTACTGGTAGTGTGCCCACCACTCCATGTTGATTATCTAGATTAATTAAACTTTTTCTAAAACTTAAATTTTTAATTAATATTGAGCAACTCCACAGTTATTTATCATACAATTTTGATTATGTTTGTAAATCAGTAGACCAGTCGCTAAATATTGTCTTTGATTGAACCAGGTTCCCTTCAGGTGCTTTTATTTGTTTTTATTTCAGTCTGCATTTGAGGTCATATTTTAATTATTCAAAGCTTGATCTCACTACTCAACCATCTAATCCTAATCCCTCTAATCTCCTAATCATCCATCTGATCCTTGTTCAAGAATCAATTTCCTAGGATGTACACGACTCTCCGGTATTCCCTGCTGATTCCTCCCTTTATACCCTGTTATTTGCCCCGATTCTTCCCTGGGTTCCCTGCTGTCTTTTTGCTTGGATTTATAAGTTTTGTTCTGCTCTGGCTCCCTGTGCTCCCTGTGATTTTGGAATATTTGTCCATCATTTATGCAAAGTTTTTCACCATATGGATCCACCATCATATGACAAGAATATCATGCGCATCATGACAAGAAGGGGAAAATTTACATTTTCTAGGCACATTTATAGCACAATCAGGTAACTATGTTTCCTTCAGTTGTTGTGAAAATGCTGTTGCATTTTAAAAATAGACATTTGACGACTCTGTCTCTTTAAGAACGATTTTACCAGAAGTAGGTAAGTAGGAAGTAGGTCACTGAGAAGTAGGTCATACAATGAGCTGAGCTGCTGCGCGGTTCCACCAGGTGTTTGCTAATTGCTGCTGGCTAGTCTGAAGGAGCTGGCCAAGGGAGTATTTTAGGTCTAGTATCTAAGTATATGTGAAATAAAATGAAATTAACTTTTCATCAAGCTATAGGAGCTTGTTTTAACTAATTAATTCCTTACTTGATAAAATATGACTAGTTCCACTGGCAGATTTTTCACTTTATAAGATATTTTTCTCATTTTATACATAATCAAACTTTTTCATCAATATTAATGGATTATAAACTTGAAACAAGCTCTGAAGCTCCTGCTGTGAAGAAGCGATGGTTTGAACTTCCCCCTCCTCTGTCTGCTTTTGTTTCTGCTCTTATTTACACCTCTGAGATTTGGGGTCATAGTTCAAGCATTATTTGAGCTCTTTAGATGCTAATGAGCTTCTCCCAGCTGTAAAAAAAACAACACTTTGTTACCACGGTTATTCTGCATCACAGCATCTGTCCAAAAGTAAGACATTATAAGAGAGAACGTTACAGAAATGTGCGAGGTTTTCTCTGTCATGTAATAGAAACGTTGGTTGAAAGCTCAGCGGACAGTGACATACGAGTGAGATAGAAGTTTCAATGTAACCTCCTCGCTCCTTGCTGGAAAACAAAAGAAGCGCCGACTCAGCGCCTGCACAGTGCATATACTGTCATCATCTGCTGTATCACAGCATTATTTTCAGGAGCTGGAAAACAACCCTCTGTTTCAACTTCATGGAGACTTAGAGATGAGGACAGCAGGCTGGTCCGGTCCAGATCCTTCCAAATGGTTCTTTAGTATTCCCACTGTTTTACTGTAAATCATTTTAGATGGCAAACATAAGCAGAGTTTAAAGTCAAAGATTGAGTTAAAAAGCCTCTGGGTGATGCATAAAGTGGTGCGGTTTGTGTTCCAGAGGGGTCTCCGTTCAGCTGGTGGCTCGGCGGGCCCGGTACCGGCCTGGTCCAGACCTACTGGGGAGGAGCTCATCCAGGCAGCCAGCAGTGTGCCTGCGGCCTGCAGGGCGACTGCGTGGATCCGCAGCTTTACTGCAACTGTGATGCCGACCGGATGGACTGGTACCGACAACCTTTCACACAAAAAAATTCTGTACAAACTTTATGTAACTTTTTTTTTTAATGACACATTTTTTTAAATAAAAAAATCTTAATTAATTAAAGTAAAACATTTATAGTTTCCAACATTTTTTTGCAGCCATTTAAGGGTTTTATTATATAATTTTTTTAAAGTAATTAAATTATAACATCAACCACGTTATAATTTTATTAAAATATTTATGTTGTAATTAAATTTTTTTAAAAATTGTTCTTAAATATATTTTTAATAAACATATAATTAAATAAACATCAACTTGTGCAAAGCTCTTTCTGTTTGACTTAACATCAATACCACAAAGAGCTAATATGTTGAATATTGTTTTTTAAATGAACCGGTTGATATTTAGTTGACATAACTAAATGAGTTCCAAATAATTTCCCCTTTTATCAGTAGTCATATTTCTCCTCCCATCCTTCTCTATAAAACTCTCCTGTTCTCAGCTAGATCCTCACCTGACGCCTGAACACAGGTGTAAACGCACAGAGCCGCTCGTTCGGCTGAGTCGAAGGGTTAACTGTCAGATTTGATTCAGTCTGGCTGGCTAGTAAGAATGTCATCCTCAAGAGAAAAAGCTGAATAAAAAGCCAAATCAAGCTGTTGCTGCTGTGGTTTTGTTCAAACTAATTAGTCTAATCAGGAAACATGTGAAAGCATGAGACAGTAATTTATCCTGCAGCTTCATTTCATTTCACTCCTACCTTCCTGCTTCTCATCTCCTCTTTTGTTCCTCCGTGTTTGACTCATTTTCTTTACTCCTTTACTTCTCCATCATCTCCCTTTGTCATCATGTTTTCATGCCTTCATCTCTTTTTACCTAATTTAGCATTTCTCTCTCTTACTTCCATCAGATCCTGTGATTTCTATTCTGTACAGGTGCTTCAAATCTCTTGAAAATGAATTTCAATCATGTGCTTTCATTGATATTCAAACTGCTGAGTTTTGTAATAAAATACAAGTGAATGTTTGACTAAAAACCTAAATTTGGAAAACGTTATTTACAGTTAGTTCCTTTTTTTGTCACTCTCTAAAGTCAAATTAGACGAAACTGTTTTGTTGGTTTTTGTTGGTTAGAATTTTTATTTGCTAGAAGCCAGAAAATGTAGAAAAAGCATATTTTTGAGATTTTCTTGTAACTTTCTTTGTATATTGTGGTTTAAGTATTTAATGTGAGATAATGTACCATAGCGTCATTTGTTTGGATTGTTTCAATGTAATATTTATTATTACTAATGGATTGGCATATATTGTTTTACATTGAACAACGCTATTTAAAATTGGAGGATTTTATTTGTTAAGTGTTTTGTTCTCTGACCAGTCAAGGTGCATAAAATGAAAGACACATTTGAAAACATAGAATTTTGGTATATTTTAGACATTAATAAATAATTTCATATAATCATAAATCAAAACTCTTGTTTTGTTCATTTGTATTGTTTTTATCTCCAAAGTTTTGCTCGAAAGTTTTTTAATTTTTCTGTGGGAAAAAAGTACAAAAACAGTTTACAGCGATTCTTCTCATCTGTACCGTTCATCTCCTCCTGTCTGATCTTTTCCTCCTCTTCCTCTCAAAGGAGCGAAGATTCTGGTTTTATTTCCCATAAGGAGAGCCTGCCGGTCCGATCGCTGGTGCTCGGTGACGTTCAGCGTTCCGGTTCAGAAGCTGCTTACAGGGTGGGATCGCTCCAATGTCACGGCGACAGTAAGTCCATCACTGGTTTAATTCACCTGTAAAGGTATTATAGCTTTTCGGCATCGCGTTTAAGTGCTATCATCAAAATCTTAAAATATGTTGGTCAGTGTTTCATGTATTATTAATCAAAACCGACTCTAAACAAGTCAGTTTTAAGTCCTGATCTAAAGGAAGTCAGTGTTTCAGCTGTTTTGCTGTTTTCTGGAAGTTTATTCCAGATTTATGGTGCCTAGAAGCTGAATGCTGCTTCTCCATGTTTAGTTCTGGTTTTGCATACATAGCAAAACTAGAACCAGAAGACTTGAGAGGTCTGGAAGGTGGAAACAACAACAGATCTTTAATATATTCTGGTGCTGAGCCATTCACTAAATTGTAAACTAACAACATTATTTAAAGTTCCCTGAGCTACAGGGAGACAGTGAAGGACTTTATAACTGGGTGATGTTCTCTGTCTTCCTGGTTTTAGTCAGAACGCCAGCAGCAGCGTTCTGGATCTGATTGATTTTTTAGTCAGACCCGTGAAGACACTTGTTGCAGTAATCAATGCAACTAAAGATGAGTTTCTCTAGATCTCGCTGAGACATTAGTCTTCTAATCCTGGAAATGTTCTTCAGGTGATAGAAGGCCGACTTTGTGACTGTCTTAATGTGGCTCTGAAGGTTCAGGCCAGAACATCAGCCTTCATGCATGAAAAGTAGGTATCATGTTGGACCAGACAAAAACCTAATCCCTTGTTTCCAACGGCAATAAAATCTGAATAATTGTCAATGTCACTCTGAGCTATTTTGTCAGATATGGCTGCTATGTTGGTTATCGTGTGATAGCCATATTCCTGTTTCACAGAAAACTTCTGGAACGCAGCATTTTTCGACCAGGAAACATCGTACCTCCACTTCCCCACCTTCCACGGAGAGCTGAGCGCAGACGTCTCCTTCTTCTTTAAGACCACTGCTTCCTTCGGGGTGTTCCTGGAAAACCTGGGCATCAAAGACTTCATCCGCATCGAGCTGAGCTGTGAGTGCAGCGGGAGCCCGAGGGCTCAGATTTGACGCGGATTAGGATGATGTGCCAGTAAAACCTGGAAGCTTTAATCTGCTCACACCCAGAGAGTGCAGCGTGGTTGGAAAAATTCTGCAGGGAGGGAAATGTTATTTTTTGATCTGAAATTCCCTGAATGAGACGGACTAAAGGGTCTGGACTTTATTTGAGCTTTTTTTATTGAGGTTGATCTAGGCTGTTTTCACACCGAATAGATAGTCCAGTTGATTGGAGATCAAATTTGCAATATTTGTTACATTTTAAGCTGCTTTGGTTCTCTTTCTCACTGCATTGCATTGAAAAACCTGTTCCCCTCCTCACCTGTAGGGGCGCTGTACCAAGAACCACTGAAGGAAGCAACACGAAACTTCTGTAGACGATACTGACCGCAACTTCCTCCTTTGCAAAATGTAAACAAAAATCTGAGTAGCATAAGATTTTGTCTTTGCTAAAAGGCAATGATCCTGTTCTGCCTCTAGCGTTAGACTTATATCAATTCCCTATTCTGTAGTCCACTTCCTGCTCCAATCTGATTTGTTGTGGACCAATAAACCTAAAAGCATAGCTTTAATTTCAATTAAAGTAAACTCTAGTGCAGTTTGCCATGCCAAGCGGACTGGAGACCGCTCCAAAAGCAGGAAGTGCACTAAAGTGAAGGGCATTCTGGGTAAATTCAACCTAAACAAACATCAGAGTCTTCTGCTGGTGGGAGCAATGACTCATGGGCTTTTGAGGATAACTACAAAAATATGATGCTGCATTTTTGTTTATGTTTTGTGAAGTAGAAAGTTATGCTAAGTGTCTTATTCTGAGGCTTTCATGTCGTTTCCTTCAGTTGTTTTTAGTGCAGCGCCCCCACAGGAGAGGAGGGGAACAGGGTTTCAAAGCGTTTGATTCTTTTGACGGTGCATTGTGAAAATTTTTATTTCCTTTATTTAACCACGTAAACCCTGTTGAGATCTGGATCTCATTTTCAAGAGAGGCCTCTTAAAAATGAGCTCTTTATATTTTCTCATACTTTCTTCCTGCAAGGCAACAGTACTGTCAACTGTTCAGCTCTCAGAAGTGATTCACAAGGGGAAACATTGGCCCCGTGTTTCATTATTGTTTTCCTTTTTTAGCTCATTATGTGAACCTTTTTATCTGTTGCTTTTGGCAGCACATCCTGACCGGGCGTATTATTTGTCCCTGCTCGTGTTTTGCATTTCTTTCCTTTTAGATTCTCTCTGTCGCTGTTCTCAGTTAATCACTCAGCTGCTCTCACTCTATCTCAGTCCATTAATCATCTCTTCTCAGGATAAATTGTCCTCTGGTTCATGCAGTCTCTGCTAGTTCCTTCTCTTACTCTCACTTCACTCTCTGTTCTCTTTCATGTCTTGCATTGTCGGATTTCATCTAATAGTTTTATTTTTGGAGGTCAGGATGACAGTAGAACATACTAGAATACATTTATTGAAGAAAATTACTTGATTTCAATCATCAGTCATGAGTTATTGTCACAAATTGTTCTATTTAAGCAAATAATATTAGAATAAATGTATTTTCTGTCTCTGCTGCTAGATTTGTTAAATTTAAACTTTTAATGTGACTGTAAAGCAACATTTAATTTAAAATAGAGACATTAAGTAAGGAGAGTCAATTGTGTCGAATTATAATAAATAACACTTATCAAATAATTATTTAATTGTGTCATTAATATATTAGAACTAGATATAACAAATAATTTGTTAAATATAGAAATGAATTACCTGTGCTTCAGTTAAACATATTGATCTAATTTGAAAATCTTGTTTTAATTATTTTATGATTATTTCATGTTCCTGAAAAAGTTAGAACCAACCAATCAGAGCCAGGAGGCGGGTCTTATTGTTGTCAATCATCCCTCCATGTGGCGCAGCTTTTCGTGAGTACCACTCAGCATGGCCGGTGATGACAGTGATGAAACTGTTTTCCTGTGACAGTAAGTTGTTTTTCTGCCATTAGCACATTTAGCAGCGAGTACATGGGATTGATTGATGGCACTAAGACCCTCCTCCTGGATGTTATTGGTTGTTTTTGGAGCATTTCTTTAGATTATCTGTCTCACATTATACTGCCACGATATGGCAACAGTGTTGACAGATTTGTATGAAAGCTACATGCTGAAGCTTTAATGTGGGATTCCACAGGGTTCAGTTCCTGAGCTTCTGCTTTCTTGCTCGTCAGCTTTACCATATCTTTTTTCATTACCATTTCAGCCTCCACTCAGGTTATTTTCTCCTTCGATGTTGGAAACGGCCCACTGGAGGTTATTGTTGAGTCGAGTTACCCGCTCAACGACGACCGGTGGCATCGCATCCGAGCGGAGCGGAACGTGAAGGAGGCGTCACTCCGTCTGGACGACCTTCCAGTCGCCACCCAGGAGGCTCCAGCTGACGGACACATCCACCTGCAGCTCAACAGCCAGCTCTTTATAGGTGAGGACGGCTCGTTTTTCCCCTCATTTCTCTTCCTCAGCTGCAGCGTTTGTGGCTTTTATCTCTTTATCCTTTAATTCTCTCGAGCTTTTCCCCGTCTCATATCTCTCTACTGAACGCTTCCTGGATATAAATCTAATCTACTGTTTATTTTCTCACACAATATCTTCTGTGATCTCCAGGAAATTTGCTGCTGTCCCTACCTCTGCTGAAAGCTTTTATCCTGTTTTTCCCAACAGTAAATCTCTCTGTTTCACATACATGTTAACAGCAAGAGCCACTTTATGAAAAAAATCCATTGTTAAATGTAGAACAGATCATCTTCATGGCAGTTCATGCAAAGACGTTTCTAAAACAACAAACCGGCTGGTTTTACCACATTTTCAAATGTTTGTTGTATACATAATGTCACTCAAATGTGGAAAGTTAGATTTTTTGTAGTTAATAAGTCACTGGCTTTATTTTAAAGGGTTCCTACTATGACAAAATCACGTTTTGCATGTTTTTGTGCTTCCATTTGGGTCTCTGCTGCTTCTAAAAACAGGCTGGGTCTTGTTTTACAACACCCAGCCTGTTCTTGGAAAAATGTTGACATAACTTAAACATAAGATAATGCAGCATAAGTTTTCAAAAATCCAATATAAGTTCATCGTAGGTCACAACTAAGCAGGTGCTGCCTCTCTATTACCTAGCGAAGTTTCGGCCGTTGCCTAGCAACCCCAGCGAAGTTTCGGCCGTTACCTAGCAACCCCAGCGAAGTTTTGGCCGTTACCTAGCAACCCCAGCGAAGTTTCTGCTGTTACCTAGCAACCCAAGAAAATCTAGCACTACTGATCAGCCGGTTTTATTGCTGATGCAATTCTTTTCCAAATACTTTTTAAAAATATTTATTAATGTCAATACTTACAGTTGGTAGAAAGAAAAATAACTTCCGTTGACAATATTTGGTGTTTACCATGTACTATATTATGAAAAGACTAAAAATATGTGCGTTATAACGTGATAAATATGTATACTTTGTTTTTTTTCTTAGTCTTTCCAGCTCAGATGCAGCTCTGTTTTTCTTTTACTGTGTTAACAGATGTAAGCGTCTGCAGATCCCTTAACACTGCACACACTTATGAACAGATGGAAAAACCCCCCCAAAAAAATTTGCTGAAACAAGAAGAAATTAGCATCAGTGTTGTAAACAAGCAGACGCTGCAATTAAATTATTAACTTGTTACTCGAGGCTACCACACTGAAGTTAACCCTAATCACTCCTCCTTATGTTATTCCAAGTACAATAGCTGGGCTAAGATGAGATTGTTTGGATTTCATTTTATTACATTCCTACTTCACCAAAAGTTGTTCGATCCTCAACTGATAAACATTTGAGTTGATTGGATTCTCATCTGTGGAAATAAGATTTTTCAAAATTACTATAGGCTAATAATAAAGTTTAGTAAAATTGTCTGAACTTTACTGATAGCCACACTCTTAAAAACAAAACTCAGTTCCTAAAATTTGGTTGAATGCCAGAAAATTCCTTGTGTTTTGCTTGTGAGAAGAACATTGCATAATCTTTTACCTTTCACTCATTGCAGTGGTTAAGACAAGGCTGAGAATGCTGGGAAATTGAGTCCAGATAAACAAAGACATATCAAGGCCCTGCATATGGAGTGCTTTGCTAAAATATTCTCTCCTCTTGATTTTTTTTCTCATTTTGTCACTTTGCAACTACAAATTTCAGTCCAAATTGTAAGGGTTGGTTCTCTTACATTTCAAGGAAATTGGCTACACTGCATTTTATTTAAGGGTATTGTAATAAAAGTGTCTACATATCTTTGATTTACTTCTCAGACTTTTTATTTTAACTAATTTATTGCTTAAAAACTTTGTGAATTTTTGTGTTGAGTTGTCACCTAAATTACTAAAGGAAACGGTTTGAATACTTTTGTGGGGAACAATAAGAAAGAGACAGTAGTTTCTGACCACAAAAACATTATAAGTCCAATTTGTTGTCAATTGTATTATTTGGTTGAATCTCATCACAGTAATCTTAAAGATAAGTAAAGAAAAACCAATCTAAGTGATCATATATTTCCAAATTTCAAGTCAGAAAACTTGGATAAATCAAAGAAAACCAGGTTAAATGCAGAAACAAATTGTTTTTTTAAATTGTTCTTATTGTTTTCATTAAATGAAGAGCACCGAACATTTCCTGTGTTGTAACTTTGGAGAAAATCCCCCCCAAAATAGTTAAACATAAGTTGCACCTTGCGCAGTTTCACAAAATGTTTCCAAACACACAAAAATAACCGAAACTTTTCTAAAATAACTTAGTTTATTTACAAAAAAACAGATTCGCATCGAATTAACTGTCCTGCTACACAAGCCACTCCTGGGAGAACAGGCATTTCTCTCTGTGCAGCTAATTAATCCTGTCCCTCCCCACTGACATGAATTATGTAAAACTAAACGTTGGGTTATTTAAGTTCAGCCTCCTTAATGCTGTAATTTAAATATATTTCAGTACAAGAGTTGTATTCACAAGACTGCAAACTGTTCCATTATTTGAGTTATAAGATGTTGTGTCTTGTGTTTATTCATCAGCTGTATTTATAGGCCATAATCCTGCTCCGTTTTACACGGCGGTGTAGTCTATTGTTTTGATTAATAAGCCGTGTTATTGCCTTGCATGGATTCATAACCAACATTGCACCGCTGCTTCTGATTGGTGCTAAAATCTGCTGCAGTAAGAAATTTGTTCTGTTGTTTCAACTGTAAAGTTTTCCAAAACATTCCTCCAGCTTTGTTTTGGTGTTTTGAAATGTTTTTATAGAGTTTATGCTCTTTAAAAAAAGACTAAACAACATCAAATTCTGGAAATCTTAAGCTTAAAATGCAAAAAATAAATAAATAAATCTAGTAATTGATTATTCAAATGATTAATCAGACAATTATTCAGTTAATCAAATATAAAATTGGCACAATTTACCAACTTTTTATTTAATCACTTAAGCATTTTTTATTCAATTACAGAAGTAGATTAAAAATGCAAATAAACTAATAATTATTAAGTTGTTAAAATGCAGTAACTTAGCATTCCCTTCATCCCTTGTAGAATATTTGACAAATTTTTGCATTAACTGATTATTGAATTGACAGGTAAAGATGTTTAATAAGAGATTTAGCTTTTTACAGAATTTGGACCGGGTTCAGCTAAATCTGCTCTGCTTGAAGAGTTCTAAGTAAAACATGTTTACAAACGCACATATGGTGCAACCCGGTCACAATTTTTAATCACATCATTTTCAGAGTCTGTAATTAATTAATTAATTGCAATTAATCACATTTTAATCATAAAAATAAGCAACATTTTCAATTTAAAGGCAGTTTTTGCTCCCAGATTAATGAATAAGTGGACATAGGAGCTCAACAACATAGTTATTGTTTTTAATCTGTTATTTATATCATTCAGTCATCAGATTGGTGTACAGTGTTATTAATCAGCTGGTTATTTTCTTCTTTGGATATCTACCAACTTTAATTTCATCCTTCATAATAACAAATGTGCTCCCACTGCAGACACGGTTATCTCTGTCTGTCGAGAACTGCAGCTTTGATCACTCACAGACGTTTTATCTGTATTTTCTTCACTCCTTTCTCTGCTTTGCTTTATTCCCTTCAATGCTTCTTGGGTTTAAATTCCTTCTTTTAGCTGCATATTCACTATTATTGCTGTCATTTTAATTTGACCAGCAGATATTTGGTTTGATCGTCCAGTAATGTGTGCAGATTGTTGGCGCTGTATTTAATCACACGTTTATTCTCTCTGCTCTGCTAAAAGATTTTTTGCTGACAGAAAATGAGATGAGATATTTCTTGGTTCTTGAACAACATTAACAAGGTCAAGTGAAGAGTTTCTGAGGCTTCAAAGCCGTGCAGTTTCCTTGAGTGGATTGTTTTATGAAATGTGAGCAGCTGCGTTAAAAGGCATGTGGATATTGACGAAATTGCAGACAAAAACAGCTGCAGTTGATCTGATGCTAACGACAATCATCTGCAGACATCTGATATGTTTAGCCTCCGGGTTGATTTTCAATATTTTTTTCATATCTCAGCTTCATAGTTTTTTCTGGTAAAATCTAAAATAAACCATTTAAATGTAAAAGGCACTCCAAGGCAGTTAGCCATTCATGTGCTGTCCTTTAATTTGCACAGAGAAAATATCTAAAATAGCACAGACTGCTGTCATTCCCCCACTTTTCATGCTGATGCACTAGAAATTTCACCTTAATAAAGAAATCCACTTATATATGCAAGTAAATGAGCGTCAGGTTGATATCATATGGTCCTAAAATCTGAAAAAGTTATATTATCATGTAAGTGTATTTCAGAGGATTTGTTTATTAAATCTTCCTTTTTAATTTCTACATTAAGTGAAACATCAATGAGGCATAAAGGGGCGGTATGACTTATTTTTCAACCACTAAGTGCCATTTTGTAGCACAATCAAGTAACAATATTACCTTCAGTTGTAGAAATATATACCAAACATAATTTTAAAGAAATTTGACTTTGCAAATTAGCGCCTACAAATTGGGCCTCTGTCTCTTTAAAAAGCTCTTACTCGTCTCAACATTGCTTCTCCATTTTTTGTGGAAATAAATGTTTAGTCATCTTGAATGGTTGCCACAAAAAATTTTAAGGTTCTTAAAACATGCATGAAAGAATCAAGACAAAAATCCAGTTATGTTCTGATAACAAAATACATAAAATATAAAACCTTCCCTTTAAAAATATAACGGTTGGTTCATTCAAACCACTTATGCGCAGTTAAAATTTGTTTAGTTGTGTCTCCATTGCTTATAAAATTGCCCCAATTTGAATTACAAGAAAGATTCTCTTGTAAAAATCTTTAACTTTTACAAAAATATGTTTTTTTGAACATATCACCTGTGATTTTAATTACATTCATTCAACGGCAACATTGCAATTTCGGAATAGTTTTTTTCCCAACATTAGCGGACTATGGAAAAAGTTTCGCGCATATTTGTGTTTTGTTGTTTCAGCAAGATCATAAAAACATTATTTTTAAACATTGAAATGTAAAATTTTAATTCATTTAAACCCTTTAAAGCCAGATTGTTATTTTTTTAGATTCTGGTACGTTAAACCCTAGAATTAAAAGAGATTCTTCATTAAATCTGTAAATATGAATTTTCTTGCATGTGTTAGTTGCTCTTCTGGGAACAGTGGAAGTGAACAGGTGAATTTGCAGCTTAATTATCTGAATAATTATGCAGAAAGTCGGATAACAGTAGCTGTGGTTCTGACATTGTTTTGTTGATATTTGCATAAAAAGCCTGATCGTCGCACGTTAAAGAGGATCAGTGTCGCAACGATTTATCTTTCCATGCATCAATGCTGGTTATTTTCTAATAAAGCACAACTGCTTTCACTGTGTTTTCTCAGATGAGAAGATGAAGGTTTTCTGTCTGCTTTAATAATTTATGAGTAATATCAGAGCGCAGACTGGGGGAGAGTCTCTGATTTATTGGAGTGAAAATAAGAAGCTGTCATGTTGAACCTCAGGGACCAAACAGCTGCCTCACGAGTTTGCACTTTGAGGACAATAAAAGCTTCAATTCCTGATCTCTGCTTTGAAAGGTTGCCATGTTTGAACAACGACAACAACAGAAACCCGACTGAATGAAAAGGAAAACTTCCTCACTTTTCTGATTGCTACATTTTCAGCTGCAAAAGCTTTTCTTTGAGCAAAATGAAACTTTTTGAGTCACTTTTGCAGACAAAGCAGAGACAAAATCAGCTTCTTTTTGAATTTATTGGCGAATCTCTGAAGGTTTACTGCTTCTTTGAATGTGCTCAAATAAAAGCAAGGACACATTTTTATTTTATTCACTTGCATAGCATGCAGTATTGTGAAAAACTCTTCAACCATTACCGTCTTCTTTTGCTTATAAGACTTTATTGTAGGTTTATTGAAAGTCTCTTAATGTTTTGGGGGGTTTTCCTTACCGTTTTCTTTATCTTTGTTTTTACTCTTGCAGCCAATCAGCTGCAAGGAAAACGTATGCAGCTCCTGGATTGTCTGCTTTGCAAACACTAGCCAATAGTCTGTCAACAGCCCTTCGTCTGAGAAGTTCAACTTTATACTCTGTAGCTGTGTTTCTATTTAAAATTTGCGTGAAAATTTGTCAATATTCCACTACTGTTGAAAACACAAGTTCATAATTGCTATGTTTTAAATAATAAGAAATGTGATTAAAATCATTGGATAAGTTTGTTCGCGTGATAAATTATTAAAAACCATCCCATACCATCAGCCTCCAACTACTTCCTGTTCCCTTCTTCTTTGTGGTTTGCATCAGCAGCAACATCCGGTTGTTGATCATGTGACTCGAGCATTTTCATTGCAGTTTTGTAAAATAAACCAATTTCGATACAGCCAAAATAACATGTTAGCATGGAAACTTTTTGTCAACATTCCCTTAACCAAATTGTTTTCGAAATATCAAATTGTACAATTATCTTATCAATGGAACTACAACTTATAAAAATAAAATCTATGAATAGACAAATTTTCCAAAAAAATTTTGAGTTAAATTCCACAGAAACACCTGAGAAAAGACATTAGTTTGCTGTATCTTTAACTTCAACAACCTGTAGTTTTATTTTCTGAAAACCTTTTGTTTTCAGGAGGCACGGCGTCCAGGCAGAGGGGTTTCAGAGGCTGCATCCGCGCTCTGCAGCTGAACGGTGTTACTCTGGACCTGGAGGAAAGGGCGAAGATCACGCCCGGCGTTCGGCCCGGCTGCCCGGGTCACTGCAGCAGCTACGGCTCGCTGTGCCAGAACCAGGGCCGCTGTGTGGAGAGAGCCGCTGGCTTCCACTGCGACTGCAGCCTGTCTGCTTACACTGGAGTTTTCTGCCAAACAGGTATAAATAATAAGTGCAGATAATGTTTTGGACATGTGATATCTGTGCTAAAGGACATGTACTTTCTTGCAAATCTGATATATTTATTTATATTAGATATTTTCAAATATACAGTTCATGACCCCAAGCAAAGTCATAAGACTTTCATATTCAATAGATTAGAAAATGCATTCTGGTGAGGCTAATTTTGTCAGATTAAAATTTTTAAAATAAGGTCTTAAACATACTTATTATTAAGCCCACCTGTCTGTATTAAAATGTTGTTTTTTTTCCATAGGTAATGTTGTAATTCATTAGCGTTAAGTAGAAATTCAGAAATTCAGCTAATTAGTTGATGTGCAAATAACAAAGCTAATATTTCATTTAACTCTTTAGCGCTTATGCTGACTTTGAAAACATGAATGCTAATTTATTTGGCTCTTTTGAATAAACTCCCAACGTTTGCATTGACGTTTTGGTTATCATTTATTAAGATAATAGTTAGATGTTTATATTCATGCTGTTATTTTGAAGGGATGATAATTAGTTAGTTCCATTTCCTCTCCTCATGTTCTTCCCCCATCATTCCCATCCAGTAACTTCATTTCACAAAAGAAACATACAGGAACAAAATAAAACAGGGACAGTAGAAACCGTGATATAAACATGAATACATCTACATTATAAAGTCAAAATGACATTGGTACTGAAGGGTTGTAGTCTTTCAAAGGCAGGTATAATTTGAATTGAAGTTAGCCCTTTAGCATTAGCTTCTGCTAAATACTGTTTAAATGTCCCGCTTTACTATTTGCAGTAATTTTTTTGATGAGCGCAACTAACTTTTTACTTAGCGGCGCCCCCAACGGATCAAAACTAATTGTAATAAAGACTTGAAATCATCAATCTGTGTTTAAACAATTTATATTTTATATAGTGATGGAGTTATTGAGATAAATGAGCTTTTCAATAATAACCTAATTGATTGATATTTTTTGTACTAATTTGGCATTTATCAAACAAATAAATCTCTCTTAAAGCTTCCTTAAATCTGTCAGCTCCACATCTGTTAGATTGAATGAATTAACACAGATTCTCTGAATAGAAGAAACGTGTGAAAACCATAAAGATGTGAAACCAACCAACTGGTTTTGGTTGGAGCTCACAGAACAGATTTTATATTCACAGAACTGATCTTTTGGGTCGACTTCATCTCTGTTTCAGAAGGTGGGTGGTGGTGCGTCTCTGCTGCTACACCCACTGAGAACAAAGAGAATAACAATGCATTGTTATTCCGACTGTCCGTAAATCCTTTAACTTGAGAGTTGAGCCGTCTCTGCGCTTTAAAAGGACCCTCTTAACCCCCCCGCCCACCGACTATTGACATGCTGTATTTATCTCCCACTGTATGCTGATCCACACTGTGTGTGAGTCACACTGACGCACTCACTGCTTAATATTTCACAAAGAAAACACAGTTTAAATAGCCCTAAGAAAACTTTTCTTTCACTCAACAGTCACACATTGTATTCCTACAAGCTGCGTTAAAATGCTTACACTATTTTGACTATTTGTCAAAAGTTAATTTTTCAGATCATCAAACTGAATTTTATATCAGACTGAGATAAGTCGCATAAATTTAATGGGTAGTTTTTATGCAGTGGTTCATCTTTCATTACTAAGGGCAAAAAGATATCAATAAACCCTGCTGTGTTAAAGCTGACCTGCTATACCTTCTTGAACATCTTACAAAAAGGGTTTATGGGGATACAAAACTTATCATATTTATTGCACAAAATCATTCTTAGCTGCTGGCCACGCCCCTTAACTCAATGTTTGCACTCGTATGTGAAAATGGTTTTAAGTGTACACAACCGTCCATGTTAGAAAAGCAGAAGTGGAGCCTTCTGCACAACCATCAAGAATGCAGAAAGCAGTTTCTAGATGCTACATGTCTGCGGCCATTTTCAAGGGTAAGTGTAAAATTTGTGTATTTTTATGTAGAATCTAGAAACTGCTTTCTGCATTCTTGTTGGTTGTGCAGAAGGCGCGAGTTCTGCTTTTCTAACAAGTATGCTGTATAATTTCAAATCTGTTTGCAGCCATATTTAAGTGTGCGTGTAAACATTGAATTATTCTGTTTTTAAAGGGATTCTTTTTAAACTAAATGTTGGTTTTATTCGATTTTATTTCGACCTATCCCTGCAGGGCCTCTGTCTTTATTTTAGAAATGGAAGTCTGAAGAAAATATGATTACAAAATCATATTAAAACAACTGAATCCACATGGTACCGAGTCCACATGTACTAAAAGGTCTTGTATAAAGTCACCCCTAGCAAGCGCAAGAGAGGTTTTAAAAAATCTAATAAACAACATGACCTTTTTAGTTAATTTATGTTTAATTACTGCCTGGACTGAGCTGTAAATTAGAGGCTAAATAACACCTCTGAACAATGAGTCAGAGACACTGAGGTTATTAAACCTATTCTCAAAAGGTCAGCAATACCTCAGCTCAACGTTTCGCAGGTGAAAATCCTGGAAAATTACCTTTTCTCCTATTAGTCAAGAGAGAAATTGATAAAAATCTAAATTAAATTTGACCTTCGATCTATACAAAACATGTTCATTACACTTTTTGGATGAAATCATTGTCAGATGATGAGGTTTTTATGACGTTTAAGTAAAATCCGCTAGAACCCAATACACAGCCAAGACAAGTCATAGATTACCACAATAGTGAGATGGTGTTGAAGTGTGAACACACTGGTGGGTCAGGAATGGGGAATCCACAGGGAATCCATCCTGAGGAGGGTTGGGTCGGTGAACAATGGGACAAATATCCAACCAGAGGCTCAGAGGTCAAAACGGTCCAGGGTCAGGCAAGGAAAATCCAATATTCAGCATACTGGAAGCTCGGTCAGAGGCAAGCAAGGTTCAGCAACAGGAGGTCAGAAACTCTTCTCAAGGTTGTAAGAACTAGGCAAAAACAGGCAGGATCAGAAAACCAGAAACTCCTCGGACATGAGAGCTGTGACGGGGAGCTGTTTAAATAGAGAGCAGCACAGTACAGGTGAGGAAGGGAGCGTAAGCAGCACAGTTAAGGTAAAGCTGTAATTATGAACATTTTTGTCTGGTCAGTTCAGAATTTGCTGTTTTAAGGCCTCTTGTCACTTTAAATTTAAATAAACTGCTTCTTGGTAATGACTCAGTGTGACTTAACAATTGGGAGGTTTTTGACAGCTGGATTTATATTTTTATATGCGTATAAAAACCTCCAAATTGTGAATTTTGCATAATATGTCTCCTTTAAACAACAAACATTGTTGTAAATAAATTAAATAAAATCTGACTTTGAGCTGGCAGTTTTTCTGCGAGGCGTCAGGAAGCCAGACGCCTCCCTCTGAAGGGATCTGCTCTCTCTCTTCCAGAAGTGTCAGCCGACTTTAAATCTGGGACGTCGATCAGCTACACCTTCAAAGAGCCCGACGAGCTGAGCAGAAACAGCAGCGACCTGCCCTCCTCCATCTACTCTGACCCGCTTCCCAGAGGAGAAAACGTCTCCCTGAGCTTCAGGACGACTCAGAGTCCGGCGCTGCTGCTCCACGTCAGCTCCCACTTCAACCAGTATCTCGCTCTGCTCATCAACAGGCACGGTGAGGGTCAGGAGGAGCCAGTGGAGGGACTTTAAAACTGGAGTTATGTCTCTATCTTCCTGGTTTTAGTGAGAATGCGAGCAGCAGCTTCTGGATCAGCTGCAGCTGTTTGATTGATTTGTTGGACAGGCCTGTGAAGACGCTGTTACAATAATCAATGCGACTAAAGATAAACGCATGAATGAGTTTCTCTAGATCTGGCTGAGACATTAGTCCTCTAATCCTGGAGATGTTCTCCAGGTGATAGAAGGCCGACTTTGTCTTCTAAATTTTTAAATTTTCTTTCAATTTTGACAAAATTCCAAAACTTGGTTTGTATTTTTAATATAATTTTCATATTTGAGGCCAGTTCCAGAAAGTAACCTGTATATTCTTGAAAATTACGTAACCTTAAAACTGGCCTTTGAGAACCAGAAATTACTATTTTAATTGTTAAAAATATTCTTAAAATTGTGTATCCCTGAAAACAAGCATGAAGTTCTGGGAAAGTTCTGTAAAATACATAAAACTAAACTTATTAAAACATGGTAAATTTCAGAATATAACCTGGATTATTTTACAGAAATAAGTAGTCTGGAAAGTAACCTATAATCTCTAGGAAGTAACTTTTAAGTTCTTAAAAAATAACTTGTTTTTGCTCTATTGTTTAATTTCCTTTTCTTTGTAATGTTCTGACAGTGACCCGTAAGTTTTAGAAAGCAATTGTTTAGTTCACATATTTCATAGAAACTGTTTTTTGTTCTTTTTTTTCCATGAAGTCAAATGCTGTAGAAAAGAGAAGCCACTTAACGCAATGACTGGAAACTCGTTTTATCTGTAAAATATGTCCAGAAGTTCAACTTCAGCCTTTCATTTTCTAACACGCCTGGCAGTTTGCAGCTTGATTTGCTGTTAATGGATTTTATTCCTGCTGTTAATGACTTAAGGAAGCTGATAGGAAGTGAGGCATTACGGTTTTGTGCTGACATTCTAAAAGCAAAGCAACCAATTAGGAGCTTTTTCCTGGTTTTGCCTTCAGATAACCAGGACTCCAGATAAAACTGCTGCAGTTCAAACATAAGAGTTTCACTGATTATTTTAAATTAATGTAGCAACATCAGGTAGGTTGATTATTACCTAATATTTTTAATCCACTTATTGTTGTTTTTTTATCTGTTCATCCTAAGGAACAAACTTAAAAAATGTGACCAGCTGCAAGAAAACCATGAACAAGTCTGGGACGTTTCCAAATTCCGAAAGTTTTTTATTCTAAGCTTTCCAATGATGCCAAACTCATGGAAATCAAAAGAGAAGTTATTTTGTGAGCATTAATAATGTTTTAAGACTATTTGCACTGTCAAAGAAATGTAAACTTAACTGAATTTGGCAGAAACAAAAATCTTCTTCTGCTCTATTAAATGTAAAAAAATATCCACACATTTCTGTCAATTGTATTTAATCACCAATTAAGTCATTTTGAATTAAATAAAAATTACAATAGCTCCTAACACGTGATCAGCATGTTATAAGCAAGCAAAGTCATAAAAAACTAAAGAATAGTTCTCACCAACTGAGACTCGTTCAGAAGAATCAAATTGTTCATGAACGACAAATCAAAACTCTCAGCAGGTCTGAATTGGTTTCCTCTGAAGTAATTCTGACGTTGTTTTCTTTCCGTTTTTCTTTTGAATGACCCGGTTCTAAGCTACTTATCCATTATTGTTTTTAACCACAGCCATTTCATAATCAGCCATTTAGTTTCAGCATTTGAGTTCAAGTCGCGGCAAATAAACTGTCATTTACCTGCAGTCCCATGCTGACCACTAGGGGGCAGTTTGAGAAAGACCGTTGTCTAGAAACATTCTCTTGAAAGTATTTGGTTCCAGCTAAAGCTCTCAGTAATGACCAAAGCGTTTCTGTTAAATCTCCACTTTAGAAGAAATAAATCCACTCTGATATTGAGAGGGAATTATCCTCCTAATCCAGCCGTTATCGAACAGATTAAACACATAATCCTAATCTGTTGGCAAAAAGACTCACAGAACAACAAGGCCGCCTTCTCAGAGAAGAGAAAACATCTCTAGTTTTGGAGATTTAAATCGTTTTCTTGTTTTGTCTTGCTTGTGAAGATGAGCTGGAGCTGAGGTACAAGCTTGACAGCGGCAGAGCTGCAGAGGTGCTGAGGAGCAGCATGAGAGGACTGGCCAACGGGCTGCTGCACACCGTTACCATCAGGAGGTCGGCCGACTCCGTGTCCATGCAGGTAAAACCGCCTCATTAGTGTGCAACGCACAGACACCGAGCAGCACCGGGATCCCCGTAGAGCTTCCTCTCTTTCTGCTTCTACACCACAAACTCTGCAAAGCACATCAAAGCTTCGCTGAGATAATTTACCGGAACCAGAAGTTGGACGAGATCAAAGGTCTGCAACGGGCGTCTCTTTGGACCTTCCACAATGACTTCTAAAAACAAAATTATAAAAACTAACTAGTGTGTTTTTTTTTAAGGTTGGTGTCATGTTAAACAAATATTTTATTAGCTTTACAACATTTTATATTATTACGTCAAAAGAATAGCTGGGGAGGGCAGCACAGTATTAACTGTTATTTAAAAATAATGTGTATATTATTGTTGTTGTTGAACAGATGAAGAAATGCTAAAAGTCTTGGTTCATCTCAGCTTTTCACAGTGAAATATCTGGTCATTTTTTTTCACAACACTTTTTTGCATAATCAACTACCGGACGTTTCTCCTGAGGAAAAGAATAAAAAAGTCGCATTATGGCGCAGCATGTCTTTTTAATGTCTTATCACGTGAACAAACTCATTTACATGTGATTTTAACTGCATTTCTCATTTAAAGGAGCAGCATCAAGCAACAGAGATTTACATCATGTTATCTTATTCCTTCATCAAAAACATACTTAGAAAATAAGAAATAAGATTAACTGCTATTTTAAAATAATATCTATATTATTATTGAACAAATGAAGAAGCGCTGAAACACTTTCTCACTTTCTAGCTTTCCAGCGTGAGATATCTGGACAGTCTTCGCGCTAGAATTAGGTTATTTTTTTGGCAGCTGCACCAAAATTAGTGCATTTGGCAAAACTGCAATGGGAAACTACAATTTCATTAAAGATACCGTATCCTGTCCATAATAGAGATTAAAAATGCAACAGGAGAGAAAGTAGAGAGAGAAAAAGTAACGATCATAATATTAACTGTCTGCCCTCCATTTGCCTCTGTACCTGCACATGTGAAATCAACATATTGAACAGATTGTTCTTTTTTTTTGTCAAATATTTAATTGCTTGAGTAAATTTCCGATCTGTTTTTAACATTCAGATGAGGTGGAGGGCGAGTCGCTGTTAACGAGATATAAGGCTAATTAATGTTAAACCTGTTCAGCCTTCGTTTGGCAGTGAGATTCAAACCTCAAGGACACTTAAAATTATCCAAAAGTCCAAATTGAGAACCAGGTGCGTTTTATTCCTGAAGCTCCACTCAGTTCTAACGTGTCACTTCCTGGAAGAAACTCCAACAGAGCAGCCGAAAGCCATGAAATATGAAGCTTCCTAATCATATCTTGGCTTACTGAATCACCGATCTTGTTAACAACCTCGGATGATATATGAGGGAAAATGCATCTCAGCAGCAGCCAGTGTGTGTGTGTAATTATAAACATAGTGAGATAAATAAGAAGGTGACCTCGTCTTGCTCTGGTGCAGCCTCCTGATTCATGGCGTTTGCAAGGAACCGGTAAAATATGAGCCCCTTCTTATCCGTTTATATCACTGTGAATTGTTTTTATCTTTAGTGTTCTGCAATAGAAAGCAGGATGCTGGAAGTGATTGTGGAGAAAATTATCTCCTACAGCAGATTTACTTTTAAAACTCCTCATGCTTGAGGTATTTTTCTCTCCTTTCAGATAAAAATGATCTTCAACCTGTTTCTTTACCATAAATACTGAGCGTTGTTCTTTTTATTTCCCATCAGATCGACGATAACGCCAGAGAGGACTTCAACCTGAGCTTTGCTGGAGAACTTGGCAGCCTCAGGTCTCTCGTTCTGGGCCGAGTGCTGGGTAAGTCAGGATGGACGGAGGTCCGTTTGGATAAAAACACTTTGACTCGTTAGCTCAATCTCTGGGCTAATTGGCCTTTTTTTTCTCTCAGCTTTGAGAGGCAAATAAATGCGTTACGAGCAGGACTAATCCAGATGAGTTGAGAGAAATTTAAAGGGGCAGTGTTATGTAAAATCAACCTTTTTGAACTGAAAAGTATGTAATAATGTAATTCTCTCACCTAAAACATACCTGGAGTGTTCTTAGATCCTTTCATGCATGTTTGAGAAATTATTTAATCTCCATGGCAACTGTGCAAAATGCTTGGGTGGACTTAGCCCCGCCTCCAGGTACGAAGCTCCTCCTCCTCAGAGCAGAAGTTTCCAAACTTAAAAGTTTCCGTTTAACAGAGCACCCGTCGCATGTGGCTTCCCCACTCTGCTCCTTCAGACTAGCCAGCAGCAATTAGCAAACACCCAGAGGACCTGCACATCTGCTAAGTTCATTATATGAGCTACTTCTCAATGAAACACTGGTAAAAGTGTAGTTAAAGAGTTAATGTGATGACTTTCTGAAGGTGGAGTTTCAGAATGATCGGAAGTTTTTAAAGAGGCAAAGTCCCAATTTCAAAGAAGTCAAATTTCTTTTAAGTCATATTTGGTTTTTGTTGATGTGTCTGAGAAGTACAGTGTAATCCCTCTTCAATGGAAAACTGTAATTGTGTTTTTAGACATCAGCTGAATATCGATACAATTTTGCGTGCATTTGTAGCGAGTGACAGATCTAATGACATTTTGTAAGTAATCTGCCTCAGAGCGCTTTCGTCACCCCTGCTGGTATAAATTTTATCTCCTCTGATGTAAAGTTCCTCCTGGCTCAGTGCTGTCCGTGGGGTTGAACCGCCTTCATGTCAAAATGTGACCCACAATCCCCTCTGTCGAACCAGAGATGGTCCAAAGTCAAATCAGAATCAGAAAAAGCAGCGGCGAAGTGGGTTTCCCGTCGCTTCCCCCCAGCCTCGTCATCCATCAGGCTAACTAATGGAGCCAGAAGGAACACAGGGAGGCTGGGAGAGACGTGATGTAGCGAGCAAAGCAACAGCTGAAAGGCGGCTGTAATGTTTCCTCATCAACATGCAGATGTGTTCAGGTAACAGTCATCTGATGCAGCTGTTTGTCGGCTTTAGCAGCTGCTGTTTACGCTGCAGAGAGGAGTTCAGATGAGTGATGGAGAGGATGGAGTCGGTGAAATTAACAGATAAAGGCAGAGAGGGAAGATTTGTCCCATGGAGTGATGGATGCAGACGTTCAAGCTCCATATTTGGCAGCTTGTCAGCTGGATTGAATGTTTTTATGAGCTGAAGTGAGTAATAACATGAAGCAATGAGCTTTGGTGACAGCCTAATGTTTGTGCGTATCATGATTAACTAGGCCAAAGGGGTTTTCAAACAACCTCTTTGAATTCTCTGTCTAAAACAGATGCATTCAGACCTGAACCTTCAGAGACACATAAAGACGGTTTGAGAATCAGCTTTCTATCAACAGGAACAAAACTAAGGTTATTATCTTTGGACCCAAAGAAGAACAATCTGGAGTCAAACAGCTTCAGTTGTTACAACTAGAAACTAGAGATCAGACCGAAATCTGGGTGTAGAACCTTCAGAGCCACATTAAGACAGTAACAAAGTCGGCCTTCTGTCACCTGAAGAACATCTCCAGGATAAGAGGATTAATGTTGCAGCAGGATCTAGAGAAACTCATCCATCTTTAGTCACATTGATTATTGGAACAGTGTCTTCACAGGTGTGACTGAAACATCAATCAGAACCAGAACGCTGCTGCTGGCGTTCTGACTAAAACCAGGAAGACAGAGAACATCACCCAGTTATAAAGTCCTTCACTGACTCCCTGTAGCTCAGAGAACTTTAAAATACAGTTGTTAGTTTATAAATCACCGAACGGCTAAGCACCACAACACAGTAGTTTCCAGACCCCTCAGGTCTTCTGGTTCTGGTTCTGCTCTGCATCCCCAGAACCAAAACCAAACACGGAGAAGCAGCATTTATCTTCTATGAACCACAAATTTGGACTAAACTTCCAGAAAACAGCAAAACAGCCGAAACACTGAGTTCCTTTAGATCAAGGCTGAAAACACCAGGTTTGAGTTTTGATTGACAATTACAGAAAATTGATCAACATAGATGATTATTTTAACGATGGCACTCATGTAAAGCTGCCTTGTTGTTGAAACGTGCTGTACAAATAAACTCGACTGACTGATTCTCAGATTCGGACTCCTTGGATCCGGACCTGGCCCGGCTCGGCGCGCTCGGCTTCGCCGGCTGTCTCTCTGTGGTTCGGTATAACTCCATCAGCCCTCTGAAAGCGGCTCTGCTCCACCCAGACTCCAGCCCAGTCGTCGTCCTCGGACCCTTGGTCCGGTCCAACTGCGGCTCGTCGGCTTCAGCCAATCCCTACTCAGCTGAGAACACGCACCACCTGTCAGGTAAAGTGTGACTTCAGTGTTCACACCTGCAGATAGCCGAGATCCAACAAGAGCCAACCTGTCTGCTTGCTATTTTTTTCCACATGCAGGTTTTAGAGGAAAAAATATTGCAAATTTACATGCAAATATTTGTAAAGTAACTCCATTCTGATTACAAAAAAAATCACAATAAACTGCAAAATCTTGGAGGGAAAGATTATCATACCAGAGAAACTTTATGCTCACAAACAACATCCACAGTCGTCTATATGGTCTGGCTGTTGACTCCAAACATTACATGAGCTGTGCTATTAACAATTATTATATGACCGTGGAAAAACAAACATTTTGAACAGAGAGACTTTTATTTAGGAGAAGGAGCTCATGAAATTTACTTTTACTGCAGAGAATCTGACGTAAAAGTAATAACGCTCACTCTGTCTTTTCTGTGTCCTAATAAGTGACCACGCACCATTTTCTATCAGAAAGGTGTCTTAAAATCTCTTATCTGCTTCGAGAAACAAACAAAGCTGAATTGTGACCCATTTATGTTTCACACAAGCAACATTAAATGTTTTCTGTTTCCAGTTTAAACCAGTTAAACCACAGAATGTCAAATTAGATTAATGCTCAGTGTTTCATTTTCTCAAATGCCTTGGGCTGACATTCAAGAAAAAGCATTTAAATTGTCTTCTTTCTGTTTCTGTTAAAAATAATCCTAAATGACGGATCGATCTGTGCATAAACGAAGCGTATTGGGGACAGGACTCTGTTAAACAGCAGATGGGCCTCAGTAGGAGCTCAGCGGAGAGATTTTATCCTCAGGCCGCAGCTGTAAATATGATTCAAAAACAAGCACAGGCCCTTTTTCCTTGTTCTGGAAATAATTGCCCAGCCTTATGCTCTCTTGATTCACAGATGGTGTTTAAGTTCTCAGCAGATGGGCAATACATTAATATTTACTGAGGAAACAACAAAACAAATGTTTCTTAGACAATATTTTCATCGGAGATTTTTCTGCTCTAATCCCAAAAGGTTTGAGATTTTCAGGCTTGGAATGATTTTTAGCTAGACACACACGCTTGAAAGAATTTAGGACGTTTTTTAATATACACAGAATTAAAATTATACATGCAAATGTAAATACAGTAACTATAAAACATAATTACAGCCACTGAGGGGCTTTATGCTTTCTACTGCTTTTATCAATCCATTATGATCAACAACATTGAATCAAAACATGTTAAAGTTTTGATTCAGAAGCTAAAATCTACCGTTTTTCTCATTTGTATTCTTAACGCAGTTATTGAGGCTTTATTTACCCAGAATGCCCTGCGCTTGGCGTTGACATATTCTTTCAAACCTCACCAGGGTTTACTTTAACTGAGCCGAGGTTTGTAGGCGGACCAGAGTTTGATTTGCATTTAGTAGAAAAATGGACTGGAGTTTGATCAAATACGCTGAAATACTAGACGGAAATCAACTGTATTTAAAGTTACTGTTACTTATAAGCTGATTGTTTTTTTATTAAGTTGTTGTTTGCCTTCTTGTTTTAGGAGCATAATCTGGACTTGTGATCATCATTTCTGCTGGCATTTCTTTGACCTGCTCTGATTCTCATTAAAAATACTCAAATTCTCTGAATCTTGTTTCTTCTCACTCTTCTTTAATGTCTCTCTGCTGCAGACCAGTCTGGTTCTGCTGGTTCTGGACAGCCTCTGGTGAACGCCATGAAGTCGGACTCGGCATTAATCGGAGGTAGGTTCTCCGTAAACTATCAACCTTTCCCCACAGCGGAGATAGAGAGAAATATTCCATCAGAAATTCATTTCATTTCTCCTCCTCTGCCTCGGTTGGAGCCATGACCGCACGAATCGAGTCACTTAAAATCGAATCAATCGGCGACTTTGGCACTCGGCACACAAAGAGCGCAAAAGTAATTAAAGCTGAGCTGACTGAGGAAACTTCTTTCTTTTCCTCTCTTATCTTCAAATGTTTCAAGGCTTTAAAACCAAAGATACTGAGAGAAATTGATTTCAGACATATTCTGAAATTCCAATTATTATAAACTTGGAGAAATGAGTGAACTGAAGGGCCCGACTTCCAGCGAGCTGAAGAAACAGACTGCAGGGCAAAAGGAGACGATTTGACCACGACGTGCTGAGACCACACGGCTGGATTCACAGAGAATCAGCCGAGTTCAGGCAATTTCTACTTTTTATGCGTTTGGAGAATAATGGCTGCCTCTTTAACCTCAACATATCTCTCTTTCCTTTCTTTGAAAGTTTAATTGACCACAAAAAAAGATTACAATGCATTAATACTCGTGATGTGGAGTTCGTGTACAGCGTGTGGAAATGTCACAGAAACTTCAAATCATCAGTTATTCTAGTACTCAAGTAATCTATCGATAATCTGATGATTAATTGATTAGTCAAATAAAAACTCATCCCATTTTCTACTTAAGCTAGCAGAAATATATAAAGAGTAAAAAATTGTAATAGAAAAAATTATTTAAAAAAAAAACTAATACTTTAAATCGTAAAAGAATTATTGTAGTAATCGAGTAATTATTGATATTCTGACAATCGATTAATCGAATTGGTAGCTATTTAAGCTAGTAAAATAAATATTAAAAGAGGTAAAAAAATTTAATAAGAAATATTTTATTGCTTTAGATGCAAATCTATTGAAACGTCACTTTAAGACACAAGTTTGAAGTATGAAAAAACTTTTTTTAAGTTTTGATGAGAAGTGGTTGGTAACATTTATAAGACCAAACATACGACATAAAAATAACAACAGACTTGATTAACTGGTGTTTGAAGTCCTTGAAAATGCTTAAATTTCAGGTGCAAAGTCTTTGTGGTGTCACTTTAACATTTACTCTCATATTTCATAAATGAGAATATATTGATTTTCATTTTCCACATTGAAATGTTTGTTTCACAGAGGGATTCTTATGGATAATGGAACCGGTGTTCCTATCAGTTCCCGTCCATAAATGATGAAGGATTTTTTTTTTTCACGGTTCTTTCTGTCCGGGCTGCACAACCCAAACATCGTCTCTGTGTTTGCGAATGCTCTCTGCCCCCCCAGGTGTCATAGCGGTCGCCATCTTTGTGATCGTTACCGTCTTCGCCATCACCGCCAGATTCCTCTACAGGAGAAAAGAGACGTATCGGAGTCGTGAAGTCAAGGCGGCCAAACAGGAAGAGAGCCAAGATTTCCACTACAGCAACCAAACTGACGGCCGGAAAAACGACTCTGGTGAAAACTCAAAGGAGTTTTTCATGTGAGCGGCGGCCGGCCAGGACGATGCGCTGGTGTTCATCCAGGAGGAGGCTGCGGACAGAACCGCGCCTCACGCTGCACTACGAGCCAGTTACTCTCTTTGATGGATGCAAAAATGGACTCGGAAAAACATGGAACAGCACAACGTTTTGACCTTTACTGTATATTGTGTAAATATGGAGCGGAGGTGTTAAAATCCTTGTTTAAGAAACTGTAAATATTAAAGATGTAAATGTGAACATTGGTGAAAGGTGGTTTTATGGATTGTTTTAACTTCATGATTGTGATGTTTCTGATGTGCGACGGAGTGTTAGGGCCACGCTATGAACATAAAAACATACAGTTACCAGAATAAAGTCATAAAACTGAAATGTATGAAAATAAAGTCATAACATTAAGACTTCATTCTTCAATTATTTTGAATTTATTCTCTGATTATTTTTGCCTTCAATAATTTGTTTATATCAGTGGATTTGTTTTACATAAAAGTAATTTTCTGAATTTAATCTCCAAAAATTATTTAATTATGCTTTATTTGATTTGTTGTCACACTGTCAGAAATAATTTAATTTAAAAAAAGAAACTTTGCGACATTATTCTCAAATTACTTCAACTTTATCCTTATATTATTTCCACTTAGATAATTTATATACAGTGTAAAACATTTTAAATAAAAAGAGTAATTTTATGTATTTCTTTTTGTAATTTTACAGCTTTATTATACTTTGACTTGTTTATATCACAATGGAAGAATAAAAATAATTTTGACATTATTTTCAAAAATTTCAACTTTATTCTCAAATTATTATGATTTTTAAATTTAATCTTAGCGTGGCTTTAATACTTCGGCATACTCATGGCATCTTTTCTGTAGGAAAAGAATGAATGTTTGTGTATGTAAATGAATTTTTTTAATCTTTAATCGGGTTCTTGAGGAGTTTGTCGGAGCTGCTGTTTGCTCAAATGCAAACCTTTTTATTGTGTATGCTGCTTTGTGGAGTAACAATGCCAACTCTTCAAATGTTTTGAACCCTTTTTGAATATCTTAAGAGGACATTTGGGGATGTATGGAGTAATTACGAATAGTCACTATTTTACCTGCAGTAGCCAGCGGTCAGCATAAGCTATGTTTAGAGATTCAAGTATTTTTTTTTATCTAGTTTCTAGTGCAGACATGTTCATACACTTAAAATAAACTAACAAGTAACTTTTTAGCAAGATAATGGAGCTTGTTTTGAGAAAATAATTCCTTAATATTGATTATTGCACTTACAACATGGAAAAAATATGTTGTTAAACAGAATTTAGCAAAAACATTCAATTGAACGTCAAGACCTGCTGAGTTAATCTGAGAGTAGCCATTAGCTTGAATTGATGTAGCTCTTAGCTTTCCTTGAGTAGCTGTTAGCTTGGTTCCAGATAGCTGCTAACATTATTAGCACATTAGAATTTAACGTTGAGGCGGCTGACTGCAGGTAGGATACTTACTGCTCATTACTAACTCAGCAACCCCACTTCAACTATCAATCTATATCTTTAAGTAGTTCTTGAATCAACTATCCAAAAGAATCTGAGCAAAAGATCAAACAAACATGTTTCTTCAGGCAACATTTCAAAATACAGGAATATTTATTTTTTCTTTTTATCAGGCCAAAGGAAGATTTAAAAAAAGAATTAATGTTTATTATCAAAATTGTACATTAATTTAATAAAAGTCTCATCATGAAGTTACTAGGAGATCAGTGGGAGTCTGGTGTCTCTTTAATATCTATCTTTTGTTTGTTTGTTTTTCTGTAGATTGTAATTTCACTAATTATTTTCCAAATTATATCCAAGAAAGAAAACATTTAAAACACTAAATATCATTCGCAAGAAGCTAATGGTAATTCCTGTTACAGAAAACAAGTGGAAATGTTGATTACATGTTGAATTTTAGCCATAAAATATTAGTCCCCATTTATTTTGTAACTAATTTAACAAATGAGATAATTGAAGCTGTGCTCTGTTATGATCAAACGTTTAGTTTACCTTTTACCTTAACTTCCAATTTACAGCCTGAAACCTGTAGATCTGTGAGCCGATCATAGTGCAGTTACATTCATCTCCATGTTTTATCTTTTAATGTCAAAGAAATCTGAAAGTAGTAATTTGGTTGCCAGCTGTTGTGTTTTGACCTTTCAGATCACTAATGGACTCACTTCCTCGTTCTTTTTCAGATATTAAAAACAAAGTAGTGCATGGAGTTGAACCAGATGAGCAGGATCCAAGGTGCAGAAACTCAGGTAGACGAAAAACAAAGACAGCAGATTCAAAGTTTTTAACATATACGGATGTTTTCACACGCAAAATGTCATTTTTGTGAAACGAAGCAAAAACTTTTCACCACTTTGCTGAAAGGGATCCATGATGACTTGAACATTTCGGCCTAAAATATGTTGTAATTTTACGTTGTGATCTACTGTTTACTGTATCAGCTGGAGCTAACAGCATTAGCAGGAGCTAACTCAAAATCAAAACAAATAGGAAGATTATAAATGGATGTTTTACAGGGATCCTGAAGCATCTTTTTATTTCTAACACACCATTCTGATATATTTGAGGAAATGTTTTTATTTTTACTGTGAACAGCTTGAGTTAAAAACTGAAGCTACTTGCAGCAAACAACCATCTCCTTCTATGTTAGCATTTCCAAGCAGCACAAATACCTATTTTTCTGCAAAATGTCTTCCTCCATTTGATTGTTGTCGTCTTCATCTCCTCTTGCCTTATATTTGAACACGATCCGATTCAAATTTTATTATTTTTATTGGGCAATAATTACTGTTCTGGCTGGATGACGCTAGGGCTGTAGCACCTAGCATACGTCATCTACCCAGAATGCATTGCACCGTAAACAATATAAATTTTTTTACATTTAGAAAAACTAAACAGCCTGCTTCATTTTGACTGTATTGTTTTTACATCTGAAATAAATGTTGCTATCGCTAATTGTGGATCCCTTTAGCATAGCGCCTTTTAGTAACATGTGGAATATGTAGTTTATATACCAAAATTAGGTTTTATACTCAGATGTTCAGAATGTAATTAGGAACACAAGGGTAGACCTAGATTAATATTGAAATTTGTTTGATAAAAGAGAGCAAATACTTTTCAGAAAACAGCTTAAGCTAGCACTAGCGTTAGCAATGAGACCATTTTGTAGTGTATTATTTCTGGACTAAATTATCACTTTCCACATAAAAAAATCAAACTGGGGTTTTTTTTTCTACCCTGCTGATTCGTCCTTGTTTGCCAAAACTGCCATTTTGTTCAGATGATAGTGAGATCTGAAACAGGAACGAATCAGCATCTTTCACATTCATATCAATAAAAGGTTTTTGTTTTGATTTTTTTAAAATACTTTCCTCAGAAACTTTTTAAAAATATCTTCACTTGATGTTTTTATACAAACAGTAGAGATATCAAGAGCAGTAGGCCTGGAGGAGGAAGAGGTCTTTAAAGAAAAAACATTTTTAAGGAGCACTCAGCCAGAAAATCTCCATAAAATACCATCACATTAGATAGTTCTTCTAACTGAAGTCAGCATATGAATTAAACATTTTCATGAGTGATTTTCTTCCAGCGACTTTTTGCTGCGGTGCTGTTTTTTGGTTGTTGTTTTTTTCAGTTATCAAAAGGCATCTTCAAAGTCCTTCTCTCTCCAATCATGCAAATGAGCAAAGCGCACATTTGTTTTGAGGGTACTGCACTCTTCTTTGGCTATTTGTGGAGATATTTTCTTATAAGTAAGGGTTTGTTTTCTTTTTTTATTTTTACTTAGTTTGTTTTTTTTAGCTTTTTAGGAATGCCTTGTACAGGATGTTTCTTCCCATCCACGCCTGCAGGGAGCTTCACATTCAGGCCTGCTAATGGCTCCGAAGAGCAAAGCTTTTAACACTGACAGCTGACTGCATGCAGAGCTGCTTAATGTGCTTCTGAACCCCTAATCTACTTCGATCTTGACAGGTGGTTTGTTTGCTCTTGTGATGAAATGAGACAGGAAAATAACCTGAAAGGATTTCTGAAACAATCATGGCACAACAAGGAAAAAAGGTGATAAAAAATGAGGAAATGTGACTTAACACTCGATTGACAAAAGCTGGTAAATCCACAAAGTGAATAATTCATGTCTCAGTTTGAGTTTGATCTTTAAAGCAGAAAAAATTTTACTGTCTCTGTCTTATCACATATATGTTTCAACTCAAGGTTTGAGGGCCAAATCTGGCCCGCAATAAACTTTTATGTGTCCCTGTAGACTCATAAAAGATAACAGTTGTTCTTAAACATTATCTTATCAAACAAAAGCAGATTTTATCTGTTTATTGTCAAATTACATCAGTCATGATGGTACAAAGAATTGGCGTCAAGTAAACAAAATTCAACACTTTTTCACACTGATGCATAACTGTTAGTTTGTTGCCAATTTTCTGCAAAAATTGTCAAAAAATATTGCGTCAAAACGATGCTAACTCCCACCTACAGGTGGCAGTGTTTCTTCTTCTACTGCCTCGGCCTTACCAGATGTCGAGTTATACTCTGCAGGAGTTTCTGTTTTTTCAATACCCAGCTATTTCTATTAAATCATAAATGCAATTAAAATCACAAAGATTAACTTTGTTCATGCGGTAAGACATTAAAAAAACAACATGCAATTCTGTTGTCCTCAAGCTACTTCCTGACATCTTCTTTGTAGCTTCTTTCAGTAGTAACATCCTGTTTTTGATCATCCGACTCATGTGATGTGAAAAAAGTTTTTCCATTGTGCAAAATGAACTAATTTGATTGAATCATAAAACCAATTGATGTGTTTCCATTGAGCAAATTTATTTTCTATATATCAAATTGAAAATTGGTCAATCGAAACACAGCTTGTGGTTGTTATGGAGAGTAACAAGAAGTCACGTTTAGTGCCATATGTAAGAAAAAACATGGCAAAATGTTTTGCAAATATTTCTAAGTTACCGTCACAAAATCAATGATTTTGACTACAAAAATCCTGGAGGGATTGATCAATGTGAGAAGATCATTATATATTATTATTATTGAATATTATTTAGTTTTAAGTATTACTTATCAAATTCAGATGCAACTTTTGATTAATATTTTAATAATTTCATGAGTTTTATCAGTTTCATACCAAATATTGTAATATACTCTATTTGTAAACTTATTTACTGTTCTGCGTTCACTCACATACAAATTTGAGTGAGAAGATATCGATAAACAGCTGTTTATTTGTAAACCATTGAAGAAACCAAAAACATAAGATATTCCACTGTCGAGAATTGTACGTTTCTTACCATTTGTTTCACCTTTTGCATTGATAGCAGACAAAAAATAAAAGAGAGAAATTAAGTCGAAGGTGAAACCCTTGAACCAATGAGCTCTTTAGTTCACTAGTTAAATGAGCCTGATACTCGTTTAAGCCTGATCCCCATTTACTTACTTTCATGTTTACAGTAAGTGTTCCTTCCAGTCGTACCGTGGGAGGAAGCGCATCCTTCAGTGCTGACATTTCTGACGGCTGTTTCCATCCCAGAGATGAGAGGAAATATGTAGATGTGCCGCGTTGAGGAGCAGTGGGTGTCGGAGTGATTCTCTGTGAAGAGCCACTTATCCTCTCTGCCTGTTTTAATGTTCAGACGCCCGAGGAAACGAGATGATTCACTAATCCCCACTCAGTTTATCTAAATCTTACTGGATGAGATCAGAGACCAGATGTGAGGATGATAACTGGCATCTTAAGCATATGTGGAAATATCATTACCATCAGATAAGCTCAGATTTTTGGACTCATTTGTGGTGAGTGCAGCAAACAGAAGCAGAAATATTCTGAAAATGCTGATGTTTCATCTGCAGCTGAAACTTGACACAGAGTTTTATGTTTCTCATTGGTTCATGAAGATACTTTATTGTTCTTCTTTGTTCCTCTTACATTCTGCAAACTCTGCACCATGTGTTCAAAAGTAGCATTTATCCTGTATAGAGATGATTTATGTCTACCAGTAAATCAAATTACACTCTTTCATACCATTATTCTTCAGTCTCTAGTTGATAAAATGTTGTTTCATAACTCAGGGTGATTTTACACCTCATAGTTCAGTGGACTCAGTTTGATTTGGAAACAAAATTTCAACATTTGTTACATTTTAAGCAGCTGACGTGTCAAACAAACCAAACCCTTTGGAAAACCAGTTCCCCTCCTCGCCTGTAGGGGCGCTACATCAAAAACTAGTGAAGAACATCACATGAAAACCTCTGAGGAAGACACAGAACGCACTTTTCTTCTTCACAAAATCTAAACAAAAAGTGGAGTACTGTCAGATTTTAGCAATTGTAGAATTTCTCTTTTGTCTTTTGCTAAAGATCACGAATCATTTCTTCTGCTAGCGCTGGGCTAGCATGTTTGTTTTGGTTGTATTTACCCAAAATGCCTTGCATTACAATTCGCTTCCTGCTTTTGGAGTGGTCTCCAGTTTGCTTGCTGTTCACATATGCATTCAATGTGAACAGCAAATGAACCAATCTTTCCCGGCAAAACAGCTAGAGTTGGACTAAAGTGGACTATGTGGCTGTTAATCTGGTAGTTTTGGTGAATTCGGAGCAATTTCCCATAGTTGCCAGCTACCCAAACCAGAGACCATCAATGTTCAAATTCCTCTTCTCTATAACATCTACAACACACCTATAATGGCTGCTGGAAAAATAATGTATGTTGTTGTTGACTTATCATCCAGAAACCGCTTTCTATATTCTTGTTGGATGTGTAGGAGGCTCCACTTCTGCTTTTCAAAGATGTGTGGTTATATAATTGCACATTTGTTTGCTGCTTAAATGGATTTAAAGGGACAAGACTCCACAAAACTGCTAAAAATAAGAATTATTTTATGCAAACCTGCATAAAATCTTAATAAACATGTTTAATCCTCTCCTAATCGGTTCAAGGAAGCATAATAGGTGCTTTAAATAGGCCGCCAGATTCTTCTGAGTGTGAGAAAGATCACATGTGAATCAGCTGCAGCTCATTAATTGCAGCACTGGCGCTTTGGGAGTAACTGCTGATTGACGAAATCTCTTCCTGGGCCAAACAAGCTACTTATAGCTATTCAGATGACTGGCTGTTCATCCATTCAATGGTGTTTAATTGAAATTACAGCAGTGATGTTTCTGGATGATGTGCATGAGCAGCAACCCAGCTGCTTGCATCTTTCTGTATGACAGGATGGCCTTTTAATTACAGCAG